TCTTCTAATTTATTGGAGTATAAGGATTCAAAATAGTTTTTGATTATCTTCTGTATTTCTGAAGTGTCTGTTGTGATATTGCCTTTTTCATCCCGTATGCTAGTAATTTGAGTTCTCTCTCTTCTTCTCTTCGCTAGCATGGCTAAGGGTCTGTCGATTTTGTTTATTTTTTCAAAGAACCAACTTTTAGTTTTGTCAGTTTTTTCAATTGTTTCTTTTGTTTCGATTTCATTAATTTCAGCTCTGATTTTAATTATTTCTTGCCTTCTACTTTTGCTGTTGTTTTGCTCTTCTTTTTCTAGGATTTTGAGATGAAGTATGAGATCATTTATTTGTTGGTTTTTTCTTTTTTTAAGGAATGAACTCCAAGCAATGAATTTTCCTCTTAGAACTGCTTTCAATGTGTCCCATAGATTCCGATATGTTGTGTCTGTGTTTTCATTTATCTCTAAGAATTTTTTAATTTCCTCCTTGATGTCTTGTATAACCCATTGATCATTCAGTAACCTATTGTTCATTCTCCAAGTGATGTATGCTTTTTCCTTCCTTCTTTTATCGTTGATTTTCAGTTTCATTCCATTATGATCAGATAAGATGCATGGTATTATCTCTACTCCTTTATATTGTCTAAGAGTTGCCCTGAGACATAATATATGATCTATTTTTGAGAAGGATCCATGTGCTGCTGAGAAAAAAGTATAACTGCTTGATGTTGGGTGGTATATTCTATATATGTCAATTAAGTCTAGGTTATTAATTGTGTTATTGAGTTCTATAGTTTCCTTATTCAACTTTTGTTTGGAAGATCTGTCCAGTGGCGAGAGAGGTGTGTTGAAGTCTCCCATGATTATTGTATGGTGGTCTATTAGACTCTTGAACTTGAGAAGAGTTTGTTTGATGAACATAGCTGCACCATTGTTTGGGGCATAAATATTTATGATTGTTATGTCTTGTTGGTGTATGGTTCCCTTAAGCAGTATGTAGTGTCCTTCTTTATCCCTTTTGATTAACTTTGGCTTGAAATCTATTTTATTTGATATGAGTATGGACACACCTGCTTGTTTCCGAAGTCCATATGAGTGATATGATTTTTCCTGACCGGCCCTCAGCAGGACCCGGACCGAGAAGCAGTTTCCGCGGGCTCCTAGCCCTGAGCCAGGGCAGTTCCGGGAGCCGGAACTCAGCCGCTCCGTGCTCGGTGTACTCTCCGATAAGAGCAGGCTCCAAGAAGCAGCCCCCGCGGGCTCAGTTCCGGGAGCCGGAACTCGGCCGCTCTGTGCTCGGTGTATGCTCTGATAAGAGCAGGCTCCAAGAAGCAGCCTCCGCAGGCTCCCCAGCCCTCGGCTAGGGCAGTTCCGGGAGCCGGAACTCGGCCGCCCCGCGCTCGGTGCTCGCTCCGATAAGAGCAGGCTCTCAGAAGCACCCAGGCACTGAGCCCGAGCAATCTGTCCACAAGCCGCAGGCGAATGGCAGCCTGAAATTACCTGTTCTATGGCTGAATGAGCTGCGGTCAGTCGAAAACAGGGATGGTGACGTCAGCTCTCCAACATGGTGGCCGCTGGCCTCCTCTGTGGTCTGACCAGTGTGGAGAACTGAGATGGACCGCTTCCTTCTCCCGTCTCGAACCCAGAATTCAGCCCTGAGTACGATGCTTGCACGGCTGGTAGAAACTGCAGCGCTGTATCCCTGCGTCGCTATCTCCTCGTTTCCCAGTGCGCGCTGCAGACTCTAGCCGCGGGGCGATTTGCTGAATAAGCAGTGTTACCCTCCGTGCGACAAATCTCTCGCGTTTGAGTCCCCGTAGCCGATCCTCGTGCGATGGAAATCCTTCCTCCAGGTTCCGGAGCACCCCACTATTGCTGGAAATTCCTAACAAGATAGCCTTTAGCCGTCCTTACTTGTCATACTCCCACACAGTGACGCAGCACACAGGGGCAATGCACTCCCCTCGCCGCCATCTTCTCTGTTACATTTCTTTTTAAAAAAATATTTTTTAGTTGTAGTTGTACACAATACCTTCATTCTATTTATTTTTATGTGGCGCTGAGGATCGAACCCAGGGCCTAGCACATGCTAGGCAAGTGCTCTACCACTGAGCCACAACCCCAGCCCCACATTTCTTTTTCTTAGTGTATGAAAACCTAACGTCAGAACACTCAATTCTTTTGTCCAGAGGCCATGGAATAAATATTTGGTAAAAGTGAAACCTTTCCTATGTCATCCCTAATTTGTCCTATTTGTTTTATAGTATGTGCTCATTACTTTCTTTGATTTGCCTTATTCACAGAAAGAGCTTAAAAAGTGGGATGATTTTGAAGATATCTTAGAGGAGAGGAGACATGTCAGTGACTTGAAGTTTGCGATGAAGTGCTATACGCCTCTTGTCTATAAGGGAATTACTCCTTGCAAGCCAAGCGATATTAAATACAGTGTTCTCAGTTCTGAAGAGATTCATTATGTCATTAAGCAGGTGAGTCCTTTGGTCACAGCCAGACTTGTTCATCGTAACCAGTTCCTTCTTTAAGGTTTAGCTATATTCAGCACATTCACCAAATACCTGTCATCCTATAATGTGTGTTTGCTTCCTTCCTAGACACTGAGAACTGCCGCCACCAGTTGCAGTGTCTAGGCTGGCAGGGAACAATGATGATCATACAGTTACAGTGAAATTCAGTTCAGGGCACACTAGCGGTGGCCCAAGATCCAAGGACACTAAATAGTTTGGTGTGGAGAGTCAGGGAAGTGATTTTACTTTTAAATGAGATCTGAAAGATGATTCAGGTTTTTCCAGTGAAGTGGGTGAAGAAAGTTCTAATAGAGAAGATCATTATGGCTCCATGTTAGAATACCTGTGGAGCTCTGAGAAACGCCTGTGCCTGTGTCCATGCCAGCTCAGTTAACAATGTCATCTTGTCTATGGAACACCTTCCTTCTGAGATCTTCAAATCACACATCCAGAGCAAACTTTGCTCCCTTCCCAGTCCTGTTCTCTGGTCTAAGTTCCTTTCCCACTGAACAGCTCCACTTCCTTCATTCTTTCCTTCCTTCCTGTACCCATACAACCACCAAAAAGATCAGCTTCACCTCTCAATTTCTGAAGCCTGTCCATTTCTGTCCTAATAGCTGTACCCCAGTGCAGGCAATGATAGTGGCACCTGGGGACTGCTGCAAGAGCCCCATGAGCACTCCCTGTCTTCAGTGTTCTGAGGGCACTCCTGTGCACTCTCACTCTACCTCAAGAGCCTTTTGTGGCTTCACACCACAGGCCAACAAAGCCCTACCCGACCGCCCCCACTCACCTCTCCAGGCTAAAAGCTTATCGTCATCCTCTCTTTGTTCTTTGTTTTGAGCTATTTTTAGTATGTGAAAGTACATATCCTCTTAATACATGTTCCTTTAGTACATGTTCTCTCTTAAATCACACTGGCATCTTCCAAACTTTGCTATTCTTTGGAATCTGGGCTCTTTGAAACACTCCTGCTGCATGTTCCCTCTCACTGACATTGTTAACTGAGCTGGCATGGACACGGGCACAGGCGTTTCTCAGAGCTCCACAGGTATTCTAACATGGAGGTTTGTAGCCATAATGATCTGCTCTACTAGAACTTTCTTCACCCACTTCACTGGAAAAACCTGAATCATCTTTCAGATCTCATTTAAAAGAAAATGGAGCCACGGAGCAAAGAAGGCCCACGCCACTAATGGCCAGGCCTTCTGTGCCATTTGTATAGCTATGGTCCTGAGGATCGGGCGGGACAGAGCACAGGTCAGCAACAGCCTCAAGGGCATCAGTCTGTCACCGCAGACTTGGGCCTCCTGAGTGCCTGGTTAGGAGACGCACAGGGCTGGCCATCAGTTTAATCTGGTTCATGGCCTGGGGAATGTTCTCTCCGCCCTCTGATTTGTCTTTTGATTTGGATGTTGACTTGTGCTCCTAATCCCTTTGTTTTGATTTGCCTTATGTATCAAAGAAGCTACCTGTTTTCTCTGGTTATGCCTATTTCACAAGTGAAGTCAGATTTCCTCATGAATAAAAACCCCTCATGGAGCTGGGCACAGTGGTGCACGCCTGTAATCTCCCAGCTCGGGAGACTGAGGTAGGAGGATTGCGAGTTCAAAGCCAGCCTCAGCAACAATGAGGTGCTAAGCAACTCAGTGAGACCCTGTCTCTAAATAAAATACAAAGTAAAGCTGGGGTTGTGGCTTAATGGCTGAGTGCCCCTGAGTTCAGTCCCTAGTACCAAAAAAAAAAAAAAAAGAGGCTGGGTTTGGACAGGTGTGTTGGTAGGCAGTTTCATTGTTGTAAGGAACATTGTAGTGTGTACCTCCTCCATAGCTGGACTCGTGGTGAACGCACATGGTGGAGCCTGTTGCTCTGAGCCCCACAAGAAGCAAAATAGCATGAGGCTAAGTCAAGCACAGAGGGCGTGACGTATGGAAGACCTGACTGAGCACCAGGAGCAAAGCAGCATGCTGCTTCTTGTGTATGTGGTGCTGAGCTGGAACCTGGGCCTGGCACATGCTGGGCAAGCGTTCACCATGATCCTCACCCCAGTCCCACATGTGCTATTTTGCAGTATCTTTTTATTTTTTCTAAACAAGTAGGAGAAATACACTGTAAAATAACAGTAAAAAGTGGAGCATAGTAAGTACATAAACTAGGGACATAGGAGCTACCATTAGGCCTCACATCCTGCAGGGGCCCCTGGAGCTGCCTGCTCTCGGTTCCTGGTTCCTGTTCACTTGCTCCAGTATCACCACAGACTGGGAGCCATGCATTGTGCTAGGACCTCCGGACAGCTGCAGTGTCACCAGGCATGGGCACCTCTTGGCTCTGCCGTGATCTTATTGTTACTAGACATGGGGAACCTCATTGCTACATCTTTTGTAGTTATTTTAAGTGTGGGGGTTGCTGGGGATTTTACTCAGGTGCTCTACCACTGAGTTTCATCCCCAATCCTGTCCTGTCCTTTCCTTTCCTTTTCTTAGTGTCTTGCTAAGTTGCCCAGGCTGGCCTTGAACTTGTGCTCCTTCTGTCCCTGCTGCCTCAACCTCCCAAGCGCTGGAATTACTGACATGCATCACCACACCTAGGAAAATTTATAAATTTTGAATAAGACTATTGCTACAGCCATCAGATTTTTTTTTTCAGTTTCTTTAAAGCCAATCAAACAAAAAATCAAACTAAAATAACTCGTAAAACAATTATATTAAACTAGTTTAGCCTTTATCAAGTCAATGGCCATAACACAGCTGACTAACAGGATGCCTAGAGCAGCCATTAGGGTATGCTTTCAGATGCATAGGCCACAGTACATCACAACAAGTCACAAGTAATCTTCATAGCTATAAATAGCTCAAGTCAGCCAGAACCTCTGCGGGAGGTGGGCAGGCCCTCAGATAGAATTAGCACTTTGCAATCTTAGGCAAATCATAGAGCAGATCTCCCAAACCAGCCAGATTTCTCTGTACCAAATATGCCTGCCTTGCTGGTTGGTACCACAGATTTGCAAAATTCCAACTTCCCTGGCCTCAGAAGAACCTGGACTGGTTTCAAGGAGCCACCAATGACAAGGAAAAGGAAGGGTGGGGTCTGATGTGCACTCGTGGGGAGAACTGAAGCCAGGATCAGACTTCAAAGCCCCTGTATTCCAAAAATTCATTTCTCATCTTCACCAAATGATGGTAAAACAGCCAATGTCAGCCTGCTAATGGAGAGGGAGGCACTGCGCACTGGAGGGATGGTGGTGGAATCAGCCCTTCCTCTTCTGTCTTCCTGTCTGGGGTCAGAGAACTGTAAGCGACAGCCATTATGTGGGCCTGGTCTCCTGCCTGGTTCCTTTCTCTGGAATGCTGATTCTCTTCACATTTCTAGCCTTTAAACTTACCTACATGAGCTCATTCAGGTTTGCACTCTGGACACAGCTGCCGCATGCTTAACATGCTGCGTAAAAGCTGGGACCACACCTGGCCTGTGGCCCCCCCCAGCCAGCCTGGCCTGCTGGATAAGAGCTGTGCCCAGGCCAGCTCCAGCAGCAGCCCCACCACCTGCAGGTTGTTCACCTGCTGCTGCAGTGAATGTGGCTGTGGAGCACACACTGGACTGGGCTATCACTTACCAGGAGCCTCAGGGAGCCAGCCAGCATAGCAGCAGCACGGGGCGCTCTTGCTTTTATGAGATTAAAACAATTTTTGGAATGTGTCCAGAATCAGGGTGATGTTAAGCCCTGTGAGGGTTTCAGTGAGGTGCTGAGACACTGCAGAACTGCAGGTGGACTCTTCTCATCAAGAAGTTCAAGTCAAAGAAGTGGAAAGTTGGCTCCGATGACCAAGTTACTTTAGCATGAAGGTGTCATGGGAGATGGAAGTATGAAGTGTAAAACTTCACTTTATAACGTCACTGTTTCTGAATGGCAGTGGAAAAGGGTGCTCTGGTCACTGAGTTGACACAGAATTGGGGGATGGGAAAATGTTTGTGTGCCCTCCTTAAACTGGCTGTTTTAATGTTATTCTTTGTGAATTAATTAAAATAAAATGATTTTCTTCCAAAAGAGGAAAAAATAAGACCATTTATCTACTATACTGTGTTGGAAAAAACACTATGTCAATTTAAAACAAGAAGAAAACACACCATCTTGGAGTTGTATAATCCTGGTCCATTTGAAGCTAGCTATACTGGTTGGAATAGAGTTCTGGCTTATCTCTGCGTCCCTCTCCTTCCAGCTCTCCACGGAGTCTCTCCAGTCTGTCGATGTCCTCCGCGAGGAAGCATGTGAGATCCTGGATGAGATGAGCCATAAGCTGCGTTTGGGAGTCGTTCGGTTTTTTGCCTTCGCCTTGAGTAAAATATTTAAACAGATTTTCTCGAAGGTGTGTGTGAATGAAGAAGGCATTCAGAAAGTAAGTACTGACTTAGACCCAGCCCTTCTGTACCCTGGCAACAACTCGGGCATCTCCTGAGCTGGCAGGTGCTGAGGGTCCAGGTACCAGGTATCAGCGTGGCAGAAGAGGATGTGCTTCTCTGGGCTTGGTTTTGCCTTCTTCCTTTTAGCTCTAGACTCCTGATTTCAAACTAATGTACTTGGTCAAGTACGACTTTCAGACCAGTCAACATCCCATGTTCACAGAAGTTAGACGTGTAATACAAAGAATTTTGTCTATATTTCACCCGGACTCCTCTCCAACATTTCCTTTATCCTGTTTGCCAAAGTTTTTCGTATAAATAAAGTCATTCTCTTATGGTACAGTTACCAACATGAATCAGTCGGGACGTGTCACTTGTGAAGTGGACCTCACAGCTGCCGTTGGCACTCCTCACACTCATGTCCTGCAGAGCCAGAGAAGCCTTAGGGTGTGGGCTATGTCCAGCCTCCCCTCTCCTTCGAGTTCATTGATCCAGAACAAGTTCTCCGTGTTTTTGCTTGTGTCTCTGGGTGTCATACTGTTCCCAGCAGAGGCCAGTTATGTCAGTATCCCTTGGGCTAGACATGAACTGTGTCCCTCCATGGTGGGCTCAGGGGTGCACTTTGGGCAGGAATACCTTAGAGGCGATGCTGGGTTCTCCTCAGCACGTCTGTACTGTTCCTCACGGGGTGTCCCTCATCACTTGGTTGAGGCCATGCCTCCCGAGTTTCTCCACTGTAGAGTTTCTACTTTCCCTCTGTCCACAGTAAGCATCTTGAGGGATTTTGGAAACAGTCACTGTCCTGTTTCTGTCCGACTGCCCACTAGGTGTGCATCCACTGCTAGTACTTGCCTGGATTGCATTGCTCTGAAAACTGCCTAGTGGTCCTTCCCTTGCTGGTGCTATTGGGAAGCTTGCCTTTTCCTGTAAGGAAGAGCTTTCCTTGTGAATGTTCTGCTCACTCACTCTTTTTTTTTTGTTGTTGTTAATATTTATATTATTTCTATATGGTTCTGAGGATCGAACCCAGTGCCTCATGCATGCTAGGCGAGCACTCGCCCACTGAGCCACAACCCCAGCCCCCCAACTCCCTTGTTTTTTAATGCTTGTTTTCTCCTAGGAAAGCTCTTAATCTTCCTTTGCCTCTTCCTCCTGCCTTTTAATGTTGTGCCTGTATTTGATTGTCTGCTTTCCTGTCAAGCATTTTTTTTTTCCCATGATTCTTTTTGATATCACTGACTTAGTCTCTGGATCTGTCAAACAATGTTTGGTGTAGTGTTTGGGCCCAGGGCATATTGGCAAGCTGTGTTTTACCAATCACAAATTACCTGCCTTGATTCATTATGTTTAGATTTCAGAAAAACAGGTAACAAATTGATACCAGTGACTGTGTTTGAGTCTGTGACTTGAATATATCTGGAGTCTCAAGTGTCTCTCCCAACTATGTGATGCCCATTCTCCAGGCAGCCATACATAGAGAAACATTCCTCTTATTTTGTCCTACTCATTTATAAATCCTGCTGACTGTGGTGATGCACACCTGCAATCCCAGCAACTCGAGAGACTTGAGACAGGAGGATTGCAAGTTCCTTTAGCAACTAAGTGAGACTGTGTCTCAAATAAAAAAGGGCTGGAGATTAAGCTCAGTGGCAGAGCACCCCTGAGTTAAATGCCCAGTACTGCAACAAAACAAAAACACTTATGAAAGCCCCTGTTAAATCTCTCCCAGAGAAGCCTTGCTCTCTGCTGCTGTAAGCACCCAGGCCAGGGCAACAGTTCAGGTTGGCTCTTTTCAGTCCTAGGGATTGAACCCAGGGGTACTTAACTACTGAGCCACATCTCCAGTCCTATTTTTTTATTTTGAGACAGGGTCTCACTAAGTTGTTCAGGGCCTTGCCAAGTTGCTGAGGCTGGCCTCAAACTTGCAGTCCTCCTGCCTCAGCCTCCTGTGTTGCTGGAATCATGGGCATGCACCACTGCAGCTGACTTGGGTTGGTTGTGTAAGGCAGGCTGACCTGGGTCTCACCCTCAGCTCCACCATTCATAAGGTACATGCCCATGTGATCAACAGGGAAGCAAAGATTTAGACCTTACTTACAAGTACATGTTAGAAAATCCATGTCAGATGACTGGTGTATAAAATGCCCAAATAATACATGCTTGTGATAATCGTTACTATTCTGATTCATAAAATTTATATATTTAATATTCTTGTATTGGGTGAAATTGTTTAACTAGAACTCCAAAATAATACTTAATCTGGTCAGAGCAAGTGAAGTTTGTATGTATGTAGCAAAGGCAAAAACATGGTTAGCATTACCTTTAAGCATACATAGACTTGTCCTCCTGATTTTTGATTTGAGGTATGATTTAAAATCATAGAGAATGTGATAACTGAAATTATTCCAAATGTAATATTTTTTCAAGCTTCAACGCGCTATCCAGGAGCACCCCGTTGTCCTGCTGCCTAGTCACCGGAGTTACATTGACTTTCTGATGCTCTCTTTTCTTTTGTACAACTACGACTTGCCTGTGCCAGTCATAGCAGCAGGAATGGGTATGTACTGATCTGCTCCTTTTTTTTTTTTTTTTTTAACCTTATAGATTAAAATATTCACAGGAATGGTTCTAGCCCTGCTGGAGTATGGAAGGCAACGTTAACCCAGCCTCCTCTCAGGACCCAGAGTGTGACAGCCTGATGTGGGTCCTTCTCTCTTGGCTCCTTGTTCTGGGCAGATGGAGACAGGTGTGCAGGCACACAGGGCTCTTTGGTTTCAGTTTGAAGAATGTGATTGTACTACCCATGTGTAGTTACTACCTTCTGGCTTTTGTATTTGATAATATACTGATATCTCTCCCTCTAGGTAAATAAACAGGTCTAACTTTTAAAATGTATTTTTTGTGGGGCTGGGGATGTGGCTCAAGTGGTAGCGTGCTCAACCTGGCATGCGTGCATCCCAGGTTCGATCCTCAGCACCATATACAAACAAAGATGTTGTGTCCACCGAAAACTAAGAAATAAATATTAAAAAATTCTCTCTCTCTCTCTCTCTCTCTCTCTCTCTCTCTCTCTCTCTCTCCCTCTCCCTCTCCTCTCTCTCTTTAAAAAAAAAAAATAAATAAAATGTATTTTTTGTGAATAAATACATATAACATGAACTTGCCATCTTGCCTACATTGAGAGGTGTCAAGTGTACTCACTGTGTCATGCAGCCACCACATTGTCCATCCTTGCAGCATGGAAGCCATACCCACAGAACAGGACCTCTCCATCCTTCCTTCCCAGCCCAGGTACCTACTGTTCTGCTGTCTCCTCTGTGAACTTGATAGCTCTGGTGGTTCCCACAGGTGGAAGTGCCAGGGTCTCCCCTGCAGTGATGTGGTGGTGCACATCCTTTCAAGCTTCTCCCATATAGTCTGGTCAGAATGTCCCTCCTTTCTAAGGTTGAATAATATTCCTTGTGTGAATAGACATGTTAGTTTATTCCTTCACCCCAGTGGATACTTGGGTTGCTTTTCCCTTCTGCCTATTGCAGATGACACTGCTGTGGATATAGGAGGACACTTATCTGTTCAAGACCCTGCTTTCAGCTCCCAGGTGCAGTGGCCACACGTGTAACTCAGGAGACTGAGGCAGGAGGATCACATCAGAGCCTCAGATGAGACCTTGGCTCAAAATAAAAGGACTGGGGTGTAGTTCAGTGGTAATGTTCCCCTGGGTTCAACCTCTAATACTCCCCCACAAAAGAAAATTTAAAAGGCCCTGCTTTCAGGTCGGGCATGGTGGCACACTCCTGTAACCCCAATGACTTGGGAGGCTGAGGCAGGAAGATTGCAAGTTTGAGGCCAGCCTCAAGAAGGCCTTGAGCAACTCAGTAGGACCTGTCTCCAAAACAAACAAACAAACGGGGGCTGTAGCTCAGTGGCAAAGCACAGAGTGTTCAATCCCCAGAACCAAAACATACAAAAAAAAAAAAGACCTTGTATTCAATTTGTGTTAGACATATACCAAGGAGTGGAATTGCTGGATCATCTGGTAACTTTATTCGAACTTGAGGAGCTTCCACATGGCTCCACCAGGGCAGTTCAGGTTTCTCCATGTCCTGGCCTGTCCTTGTTGCTTTATGGGGTTTTGTTTTCAGTAGTGCCACTTCCAGTGGGCATGGAATGAACAGCACTGTGGTTCTGACTTGCATTTCCCTGGTGAGCAATGAGGCTGAGCATCCTTTCCCATGCTTTTTAGCCATTTATGTAACTTCTTTGGAAAAGTTTCTGTTCAAGTTCATCATCCATTTTTTAATTGGGTTGTTTTAGATTGTTGTTGAGTTGTAGAGGTTCTTTATATTTTCTGCAAATGCTTTACCAGATAGATGATTTGTAAATGGTGCCTCCCATTACCTGCATTGCTCTTGATTACATCTTGGATACACAGACATTTACATTTTGATACAGTCCAATTTATTTTTCTTCTGTTCCCTTTGCTTTTGTCCCGTGCAAGACATCATTGCCAAATTTAGTGCCGTGAAGACTTTCCCCTGTGTTTTCCTTGGAATCTTACACTTCAGCTTTACCTTTAGGTCTTTGAGGCACTGAGTTAATTTCTATATATGGCTTAAAGTAAGACTTCATCTTGTGTATTGCGCTACTTTTGATACTGTATAATGTTCAGTATTATGGGTGTATAATTTAGCAGGATCATTATTACAAAGTTGTTGTATTATAACTTTATATCAGTGTTTTATTTCTGTAGAATTGATTCTTAAATGACATATCTGCCTTAGCAGTCCTACTTTTATCAGCTTCCTTTTAAGGCCACCAGGAAAGCTGGGATTTAAGTGTTCACCTTTGGTAATAAATGTAGAAAACTGTACGGTGAAAACTGCTGGGACTCAAGCACTTCCTGAGAATTTTTATCTGAATAAAGATATGAGGAAGATACTTGGAAATTAAGGAAACAGAAGAGAAAACCTGTCTTAAAACTGCTAGTAGAGCTGCCTCTCTGTGTAATCTGTCCTGCTGGACGTAGTTGGATATTTTTACCTGCTGGGGTGGGGGTGAGAGCAGGTTGGCCTGGCTCTTCAGGTGTGAGGACAGAGGTGGCCTTGTCGTCTGGTTCAGAGCCTGGCCAAGGACCTGGACCTGGGATGTTGCTGCCGCCCTGCTGTGGCCTATTCTTGCCAGTTGGTGTCGGCACAGCACATGGAGCCTCCCAGCGACTTCTGGCTGCAGCGCCCCTTCTCTTCAGTGGTTCTGAGCTGTCCTCTCATTAACTCAGTCTCAGTGTAACTGTCCATGTCCCGTGTGTAATCTGATGGCCTCTAAGCTCAGGGCTTGAGAAAGTTTCCTTTGTTTTTCAGACTTCCTGGGAATGCGAGTGGTTGGGGAGCTGCTGAGGATGTCAGGTGCCTTTTTCATGCGGCGTACCTTTGGTGGCAACAAACTCTACTGGGCGGTGTTCTCTGAATATGTAAAGACCATGTTACGGGTAAATGCATGTGATGGCCAGGTTTTTTCAAGCTCATTTTCATTCCACTGATGTTTGTTTTGCTTTTACAAATTGTGAATTTCTAAATAGACCATTTAGCTGTTTTCCCCCTTGAGGAACATTCCAAGCCTCAGCAGTCTGTGGCTCCCTTGCCTACGTGTTGCTGTGAGCAGCATTTATTTATTTAGAGGGTTGGGAGGGCATGGGGAAAGGAATCAAAAGAAGGACCTATGGGGCTGGGGATAGAGCTCAGTGGTAGAGCGTGTGTCTAGCATGCGCCAAGGGCCCTGGGTTCCGTCCCCAGTTCCAGGAAAAAAAAAAAGGTGTCATTTTGAGAGTAGGCAATGGGTTTGGTGTCTTGTTTGTTTGTTTTCTCTTTAAAGAATGGTTATGCTCCTGTTGAATTTTTCCTCGAAGGGACCAGGAGCCGCTCTGCCAAGACACTGACTCCTAAATTTGGTAGGTCACTTATAAATTAGAAAAGTACAGACCCAAGGGATTTAGATGTGACTTTCTGATCACTGCTAAATAGAACTTGATACTTTTAAAATTTTTAGACAAGATAATTGTTTCTTTGTAAGTGTAACTATTTCTATAAGTGGAACGGTTCCTGAGCTTAGGATATGTGCACACTTTTGCTGTCTTCTTATTTATGCCTCTGTGTGCTCTACTCCCCAGTGTGAATGAGAAAACATTTTCCTCTATGTTTACAGGTCTCCTGAACATTGTGATGGAGCCATTTTTTAAAAGAGAAGTTTTTGACACCTACCTTGTCCCAATTAGCATCAGTTACGATAAGATATTGGAAGAAACTCTTTATGCATATGAACTTCTAGGAGTCCCAAAGCCAAAAGAATCTACAACTGTACGTGAGGATGGCCCGACTTGATTTTCATCAAATAGAGAGAATATCCCAATTTATACGTGTTCTGACTTTATAAGTATACTCCTTTTTTTTTCTTTCCCCATTATGATGCTACTAGGGGTTGTTGAAAGCCAGAAAGATTCTCTCTGAAAATTTTGGAAGCATCCACGTGTACTTTGGAGACCCTGTGTCGCTTCGATCTCTGGCAGCTGGGAGGATGAGTCGGAGCCCGTATAACTTGGTTCCAAGGTGCAAGGCCTGTTTTGATACCTGATGCAGAGAGGAGGGTTAAACCTAGCAGTGTGAATCGAGATCTGGGCTGATGGCCTCCAAGCCTAAACTGTGGTTTACCTGAGAGCACACAGCATATCACCAGGGAAGCTGTGCTGCTTCGTTTTCTTTCTTCCTTTTTTATTAAAACTGTTAATTTATTTACTTATCATAATTTTTATCGGTGCATTATAATTCTACATATTGACGGGATTCATTATGCTACATTCATACAGGTATAGGTTATAATTCAATCAATCTCCTTCCCGTCATTTCGTTTTTGTCATTGGAAGGCTTCAGTGAAGATGATCTGTGCTTGCTAACAGTTGATTCTCTGCAGGATACATGTGTCAGACATGCAATCAGACACAATCGCCTTCTTAGGGGAACTCTCTCAACATTAGGAAGAAGAGTGCTGCTGTTAACAAGTGCACTGTAGGAGCCATTGAGCCTGCTGGAGTCCAGCCAGCATGTGTCCTGAGCACTGGTTTGATTCCAGAAAAGAGTGTGTGGTAGCCATGCATGGGACTGAGCCCCTGTTCCCAAGAAAGCATATTAGGTCCTTGAGGAGGCAGAGTTCCCCAGTGGGGCTGTGCCTCTCCAGTAGCTGCATTGTCACCTCAAGTGTCTATGGGCTTCCTGCTGCCACCCATTCTTTAGACCTCACGTTGGCCAGCTGGCCTATACAGAGGACCCTTACTGGCGTAGTTTTCATCAAGCCCCTTGTGTGGCTGCTGTTAGGCCCTGCGTATCTCTTTTGGCTCCACCCTGTCCTCTTAGGCCTCGTGTACACTTGCAGTGATCCGAGCATGACAGAGATCCCAGATGAGGATGGGGTCCTCGCAGGCACTCAAGTTCTCAGACTGAGCAGCCTGTCCGGTGAAGATGTTAGCCTGACAGGGGTGGTGTACAGTAGAGATGTTCATGGTGCTAGGATTCTGCAGAGATGGCCATTCATTTTACAGGGAGATATTGGTTTTCACAGAAGTGATATGAACTATTTAAAAATCAGCAAAAGTCTCCCCGCTGGAATTAGGATTTTAGAGTAGTTCCTGCTGGGTACAGTGTTGCGTACCTGTAATCTCAGCAGCTTGGGAGGCTGAGACAGGAGTATCGTGAGTTCAAAGCCAGCCTCAGCAAAAGCAAGGTGCTAAGCAACTCAGTGAGACTCTGTCTCAAAATGAAATATAAAAAAGAGCTGGAGAATGTGGCTCAGTGGTTAAGCACCCCTGAGTTCAATTCCCAGTACCAAAAAAAAAAAAAAGTATTTCTTTTGTTTCAAGAGCATGTCCTGGAAATGTCTGGGCAGATTACATTGTGGTAAAGCAAGGAACACTTCTTGCTGGTGGCCTGAGGAATTTGGTTGGCAGTAGCATGAGCAGCCTTCCGAGGGGTCCTCCCACTCTGTGAGTGTGGGTAGCAAATCTGCCATGTGTTCTGTCCCTTCCTTCTAGATATATCCCGCAGAAACAGTCTGAGGACATGCATGCTTTTGTCACTGAAGTTGCCTTCAAAATGCAGCTTTTGCAAATTGAAAACCTTGTTCTGAGCCCTTGGAGCTTGGCAGTTGCTGTTCTGCTTCAGAACCGGCCATGTATGGACTTCGATGCCCTGGTGGAGAAGACTCTGTGGCTGAAGGGCTTGGCCCAGATGTTCGGAGGGCTCCTCCTGTGGCCTGGTATGTGGTGTGGAGGCTCGCCTTTCACTCTTAATTTGGGAATGAATTCTAGATGTGAGAAACCTGCGTGAGAGCTGAGCTAAACATCCTTCAGAGAAAAGGACCCTTGTCTGTTTTTACCCCTCAAGGACTGGAACCCAGCATGTTGGCCCTCGAGTATAAGCATTTTCATGTCATGTCCCCCTGAGACTATAAACACCTGAGGACTGGACCATTGTCCCTTTGTACCCATCAGAGTGGAGACTAGGGACAGGAGTCCTTTCTTCTCTCAGATGACCTCATGTTAGCATCCCATTTTCCTTGTGGGTGGCACACTCTGAAGGGCTGGCCTCATCCAGCTTTACGCAGTTCTCAGATGAAAACAGCTTGGCAAAAATCTTGTCCATGTTTTGAATGCTGTGCTGGAAATCGGGGGTGTATGTAACAAGAATTAGTGGAAGTTGTTTCAGTCTGTTTGATTTAAGATTATATAGATGGCAGATGGAATTGCAGTCCTTTCTCAATCAGGTAATTGTTTCTAGTTAACTGCCTATGTACATTCACCATGCCGACGTCAGATGTGTGAACAAGCAGTAGGGTCAGTGAGCTGTGGACGCACTGTTGAGAATGCCTGAGAATACCATGGGTGAAGGGAGACTTCACAGAGTGACTCTGCAGCCCCTCGACAGGAGAGGAGCTCCTCAGAGAGTGGTGCCTGGTCCATGCAGGAATAGCAAATGCAAAACGGTGACCTGGTGACCTGCATCAGCATCTGGTGACCTGCATGTTAGAAAGCTGCCGCTGGGTGGGGTGAACAGAAGAAAAGGCTGTAGGTGGCAGCTAGATTGCCTCAGCCTGTGGGCCTCAGATCTGGACTGAAACCTCTCAGCTACAGAAAGCCATAATGGATGTAAGCAGTAAGACAGAGTGGCCTTTAGAAAACACCCGGCTACCAGCTCTAAAGATGGACCTCCATGGAAGAGACTGGAGACAGGTTAGGAGGCTCCTGTGCCCAGCTGAGAAGTGAGGACACCCAGTCCCAGTGGTGGCTGAGCTGGCGCACAGCAAAGAGGAGTCCAGGAGGAATTCCTAACAAGAGCCAGGCAGTCCAGTGAGGAAAGAGGGAGGTGACATCTGTCTTAGCATTGTGATGGTCTGGTAGGAGGTGGGGGACATGTAAATTATGACACAAGGTAGCAAGTATTTGGTGTTGTGAGTGGGCCAGGTAAAGTGTTGACCTATAACTATGTGCCCTGGGGACATGTGAATACATACACACCGGTCTCTCTAAGGTGTCTTGCTTTTTGAAGACAGGATAAGTATGTGACTGCATAAGAGTACCTGTGGCTGGCTGACACTGCACCACCCTGGTTATTACAGAGTCTGTCACATCCAAGTGACTGAGGCCAGAGCAACTGTGCTTCCTAATTTTAGAGCATACGTTCAGTTCCTTTGTTCTTTTTTACTCAAATTATCACACAGTCCTAAGCATTCTCGTATCTAGAGCCTGCATTTATTTACTTACTTACTTACTTATTTATTTCAAGTGCTGGGGATTGAACCCAGGGCCTTTTGCATGCCAATCAAGCACTGGGCCACTGAGCTGCATCTCCAGTTCTCTGGAGCTTTTTATATCATTTCCTACATACCATTAACTTAAGCAAGCTGAGAGGACAAGCTGATCAAGAATGAGTGTGATTGAGGCCACTGAAGGGAACCGAGTTCAGAGTCTTGGAATGAGCAGCCATATCTATGCAGTCCACGTACCATCCAGGAATGGGCCTTTACTCTGAGACCTTGTGTTCATTCCCTGGTTATAAGCCACACCCCTCATTTGTCCCTCCCCTGCAGCGTCAGCAGAACCTAACACCCAGCTCTCTGGCTGAGGTTCATAGTAAAACAAGTGCCCTTGCTGTTAAACATCACCATCTCTGCATTCTGCTTCTGTGACTACCTGTTGGCCATGTTCAAGCCCAAGGTAGTGTCGGGTGATGAGCTACAGGAACCATGGTTGCTCTGTCTCTCTAATGATGCTAGATGTGGGGAAGAGACACATGTCTCTCTGTGCTCTGAGACGTGGTGCTAGGAGCTGGGTGGGTTGTAAGAAGTATGTTTAATGTACTCATGCACCAATCACAGACCTTTGTGTCTTAGTATTGTTAAATCCGTGTGCGTGTGATTTTTCCAGTCATGTAACTTGCTCTTGCAAATGTTTTGTGCCCTTGGTTCCTGAGGTAGACAGCAGGTGTTGATTTTCAGATTGGGAACTGATGTGTACTTCAGAATGGCTGACAGTCTTAGGGTAGACGGTGTTATGTACATGTCCCGAAAGATTCCATACATGAAGTCTTCTTTCCACTGTCCTTCATTGACCTTGACCGCAGCTGGTAAGAGAGTAGCCCAGCCTCTGCCTCTGCTCTCAGGCCAGGCCTGCCCTGCAGACCCTGTCTCATTTACACATGTTGTCTTTGTGTGCAGATAATGAGCCTGCTGAGGAAGTTGTCCAGTCCAGCATTCTTCTGCATTCCAACCTTGCCAGCCTCGTTAAAGACCAGGTGATTCTGAACGTGGACTCCGGAGACTCGGAAGTGGTCGATGGACTCATTTTCCAGCATATCACTCTGCTTATGTGCTCAGCTTATAGGAACCAGTTGCTCAACATTTTTGTCCGTCCTTCCTTAGTAGCTGTAGCCTTGCAGATGACACCTGGGTTCAGGAAAGGTAACTTTCAGGAACGTGTCCTTGAACTTCAGAAGAAGCCTAGCGTTGCAGTTCCATAGAGGGAGCAATAGTGCACAGCAAGGACACCACTGGCAGGGCGCAGGGCCTTCACCCTCAGAAGTTAGCTTTGCTCCTGAAACACGTTATCATCTATCTTAGAGTCCTAGAATTGGAGGGCACAGTAGCATGTACCCATCTGTAGTCCCAGCTGCTCAGGAGACTGAGACCCACCTGGGCAATACAGCAAGACCCCACCTCCAAAAAAAGAAAGAAAGAAAAACTTAGAATTGGAAGGACCTAGAAATTGCCTAACCTAAACATCTTCTACTATAAGCGAGAATTAGGCCTACAGAGTTGCGTGATTGCTCAGAGAAGGCTCTGCATGTGAGCACACTTGCCCCATGTCCTGGTCTGTTCTGTTCTGCTGTGACAGGCCCTTGTCCAACAGAACACCAGCGCAGTAGCGTGCACATTGCACTGAGGAGCAGGGAAGTGAGTCAGGCACAGCTCATATTGGCAGGAGCTTATAGTCCAGGCCATGGTCTCTACCTGGGTCTGCATGAGGATCCCTGGGGGAGCCCCACATCAGAGCCGCCTGCAGTGGGCCTAGAGTTGGGGTTCCATTGGTGATTTCTTTCTTTTTTTTTTTTTTTTTTTCTTTTTTTCCCTTCACAGGGAAGAGACCACAGGTATAGTAAAGATGCAGGACTATGAGTGTCGAGGGAAGCTAGGAAATCAGTTCCTCTCCCCCATGGGGACTTTGGCATAGGGGAAGTGATGTCCCAGGCTTCTAAGGACTGTGGTATCTTCCTTGTTACCTGACTGACTTATTAGAAGCTTGTTTGTATTTTAGCACATTAAAACTGTGCTAGACTAGTTTACTCTGCAGGTGAAGTTGTGGTTGATTCTGGCTTCCCACAGGGGACTTAATTCTTTCCTATTATATGCATAAAAATGCACCTTTGGGGGCTGGGGCTATAGCTCATTGGTAGAGCACTTGCCTTGCATGTGTGAGGCACTGAGTTTGATTCTCATTACCACATATAAAAGTAAAGATCCATTGACAACTGAAAACATTTTTAAAAATGCGCCTTTGAAGGACTGCATTTTGGGGTTTCATGGACTTCCTGATACTCCCTGAAAGTTTAAAAAGCAGCATGGTGATCTTATGTAACAAATTTATTTACAGAGGATGTCTACAGCTGCTTCCGCTTCCTCCGTGACATGTTTTCAGATGAGTTCATCTTCCTTCCGGGAAGCACACTGAGGGTAAGTCTGCACACAGCAGGAGAGCAGGCGTGCACGCATGAGTTCTGCAAGCAGGCAGGCACATTCTCAGGCAACATGGTGAGAAACGCAGGCGCTCACGGTCCAGCAGACCCAGAGCTGCACAGCAGATGGTGATGAGTAGTGAATAACCTAGGGATTCTTTGTGAGGAGGGTCCCTTCTGGAGCCACTAGTGCAGCTCTGTAAATGGCTGTTCCAGTAGATGTTTGTAAGTCTACACACGCCTTTCTGCTCACAACGTGTTGGAATGAGTCCGGCAGGAAGGTGCCTCAGCCTGGAGAGGAGCAGTAGGTGGCCTTGCTGGCAGTGTGGGCAGTTCAGCAAGTGGGCCTGCTAGTTCTCTGGTGTAGGCAGTGGTAGAACACACACAGATGGTGCAGGCTTTGGTTGCTGTGCTAAGGAGAGCAAGCTTCGTTTTATTCTGTGGGACTTGAGAGCAAGCATGCCAGCAAGCTTTGAGTGTGAGCACAACTCTTAAGTGTCTTTGGGACTCTTCGCACACACTTGCTAGTTAGATTAAGGAGTGTGGCTGCGCACAGTGAAAGAAAGTCTGTCCGCCCAGTGGTTTTCTTGTGCTGCTGTGGAGCTTCCAGGTGGTCCTGGGAGGCTGTGACTAGCTGGTGTCATGGCTGAGGGCTCATGTGTGTTGAGATGCCTATTCCCATGAACCTGAATTCCCAGATACATTCTGGCTTCCCCTTTTCCCTTCCAGGACTTCGAAGAAGGTTGTTACCTGCTTTGTAAAAGTGAGACCATTCAGTTGACTTTAAGGGACATCCTTGTCACAGAGAAAGGAAAGACTGTGTTAGAATTTCTAGTAGGACTCTTTAAACCTTTTGTGGAATGTTATCAGGTATGTAAATTTGGCAAGTTCTTCTTTATGACCCTGATATCAAATTAAAAGATTTTTCCACTCCACACGTATTATTTGCTCTGGTGGTCCAGGATTTTTCCCAGTGAATGAAGTTACCTCCCAGGTGTCTAGAGGAGGAGGAGAAGGCCTGGTCCATCACAGAACCAAAAGAAAGACAGCTTAGTGAGACCTAGAGCACAGTCTTCGTGTAACCATAGTTTTACCCAAACACTGTTGTCATGCTGTGTCTTGTGTCTTTTGGTCTTAGTGTGTAGCAAAATGTTTTACACATAATAAGCACTTAGTGAATGCAAGACCCAAGATCAGAATGATGCATAGAGTCAATCATTTATGTTACTCAAAGTTGGAAGGGAAAGAAAAAGTTCAAGTGCAGGTATCTAAAGAGCTTGTCAGAGCTCTCAGTGGACACCCAGTAGGAACGGTCAGGGCTCAGGAGAGAGGGAGTTGGAAATGCAAACCCAGGAGCCCTGCGTATTGGAGAGAAGAAGCCTCAGGCTGGGCTCAGTGTGTGCCCTGCCCAGAGGCACCAGACCTGCTTCCTGGCACAGGGATGCTTGTGGCACGTGAGGTGACACCACCAGCCTCCTTGCACAAAGCTTCACACTTGGTGCTTGATCAGTGTCCTTTCTACCCTTTCTATAGTAGAAGTCATCCAATGTTTTAGGACCTAGCACATTGTTGGGTTTATTTAATGAAAAAGACAAAGTTATAAACATCTGGCTCCTGTTTTCTCAAGTAGCATGAAATACAAAGCTGGTAGTAGTTAACTTGCAAACCGACTAAAATGCCAAAGTAATGTTTAATAAATATTGATATTATTACAAACCATTGTATTCTAATTGTAAACATGAACTGAAGCTGGGCTGGGGCTGTGGTCAGTGCAGAGCACCTGCCTAGCATGTGCAAGGCACTGGGTTCAATTCTCAGTACTGCACGTAAATGAATAAAATAAATGTCCTCTGACAACTTAGGAAAAAAAAAATGAACTGAAGCTTAGAAGAGATGTCCTAAAAGTTCTCCCATGTTTCTCGGGCTCCACCTTAATGGGTCTGCATTCTGCTCCACTGGGAGGTGCCACTCTTTAAGAAGGTGGTGAAAGTCATTGAGGGTTCTCCTGTGTTTGGCCACCCTTTCTCTCTGTTCCTCATTGTCCTCTTAAAATCAGATCATTTGCAAGTACCTCTTACATGAAGAAGAAGAGCGCTTTACTGAGAAGCAGTACTTGGCTGCAGTGAGGAAGTTCACATGTCAGCTTCTTGATCAAGGTCAGTCACTCTGGTGGGGAGGGGGCTTTTATTACTGGAGAGTAAGGGGTCTACCAGCTCTTCCTCCTTCGCCTAGGTGCCTCTCAGTGTTATGATGTGCTATCTTCCGACGTGCAGAAAAATGCCTTAGCAGCCTTTGTGAGACTTGGCGTGGTAGAGAAAAAGAAGATGTAAGTACTACGCACAGTTCCATGGGTGCTAAAGGGGCAAGGGCCACAAATGACACTGAGCAAAAGCCCAGGCATGGGAGTGTGCCGTCTGGTAAGTGTTAGAATGTTCTTCACTTACCCAGCCCCTCCCGAGTGAAGTCAGTATGCATCCCCAGGAAATCTGTGGTTATGAATAAAAATGCCCCTGGAGCAAAGGAAGGAGGTAGGGTAGGCCAGTCTGTGGAAGATTTTTGGAGAATGTAGTGTGGGTGGTACATGGATGGATGGGTGGAGAGACAGACATTTGCGAAAGCTTAAACTCATGGTCACGTGTCTGGTGTGGTCCAAAGAAGGAAGGGTGAAGCCAGGAGGGAGGGCAGGCCAAAGGCCTTCCAGCCACTGTACACTGGCCCAAAGCAGCACTGTTGGGAGGCCGTCACCTTGATGTGTGCAGTGACAAAGCTTATTCCTTTCTTTAGAAACAATGAAAACATATTTAGTGTGAATGAACCTGCCACAACCAAATTAGAAGGAATGCTCAGTAAGTACGGTTTAATAAACATGAAGAACTTCCGCATTGTTTTATCAGTGTTTTTTCCCATGCTGGAGCTGGAGCTGGACCTCACACATGCTACGCAGGTGGGGGTAAAGATCAGTGGTGGAGCACTGGCCTGGCCATTCCCTCTACCACCAGAGACAGAGAGAGGAAAAGACACAGCGCAGCCCAGGAAATGCAGGCCATTTGTTCTTGTAAGAGTCAGGAGAGTCAAGCGTGAACAGAGAAATGGCCAGAAGAGTCGAGAAACTTCCTGCAGGGATGTTGGGATGATATTAGAAGGGGGGTATCGACATTTAAGGAAATGACGATCTGTTAGTTGTGTTGAATGAGCACTATGTCATTGATACTCTTACAAGGGGCGTTTTTGTACCTAAGCCCAGCTCAGGGCATTGGTCAGGGCTGCATGGAGGGTCCCTCGGTGGCATTTGCCTAAGCCAGGAAAACCAGGATTGGGCGTATGGAGGAAGGAGGGGTGGAGGGGCTGTGAGACCTCTTGTAGGAGTGTGGTGAGCACCACCCCTCTTCTGTTCACAGAACAGGTAGCCTTGGAACTCAGTTTCAAATGTGGTAAGGAGGGTGTAGAGCTAAAGCACTCACACGCACCTCATCTGCGAGGACGACAATCAGTTTATTAATAGTGGGGACCAGTGGCCAGCTCTTGCATCTGGCCCTGCCACACTGGCCACACCTCCTGCAGAGGGGACTGGCACCCCATTGATGCACTTGGCCTGTACAGCTCTGCACAGTGTTGGGTATCCCTGTTGGGCAGTAGCTTAAGACACAGTTGTATGAGAAAGGGCAAAGTCCGTGTCATTTCACGAGCTCTTTGTTTATATCAGGTTGTAAGACACCGATAGGAAAACCAACAGCTGCAAGACTTTAATGGTCATCACACAGTTATTGTTGTAAAGGACTACTACCAACATGGGTGTAAAGGAAGACACACCTCATGCTCCACAAGACTTTACGAGTAGAGACTCCGTGGAAAGGAAGAAATGATCAGTGTAAGCAGTCAGTGTAATCTTCCCCGCCACACGGTTAAAAGGCATTTGTAAATCTAGCTCTGCTTGTGTTTAAAATAAACGTCTTTTGAAAACATGTTTGGGAAAGCAAAGTTCAGCTTCTATGTCACAAACACTTCTTAGTCCCCACATGTGCTCAGTTTTACATTGCCTTCTGGGTTGAAGCACCATATTGACATCAAAGGCTCTGGCTATTAGAAGAAAACTGTGAAGAAGGTGTGTCAGCTGAATGTCCCTAGTCCAGAAATCTGAAGTTTCTTGAGCACCAACCTAACACCAAGAGAATTCCAAACCTGACCTCATAGGAGGAGTTGTAGTCAAAACACAGGTGACACTAAAAACCGTGGTGAAATTGCCTCAGGCAAGGATGTCAGGTACACATGGAACATAAAGGCAGTTCGCATTTAGACTTGGGGCAGTCTGCATGACCTCTCGTCAGGAGTAACACTTCCGGTTCCACATACTGTAGTGAAGGGACACTCAGCCTCCGTCTTACTGCTTGCTTTAGTTCCAGTTGCCTCAAATATGTACAGTGGTCACAATCATAGAGAATAAGTTGGCTAGCTTACTTTAAACTTTACTACCCAGAGCCTTAACAAAATGAATGAGTCAAAGCTGCATGCAACTAAGAGATACTGTGTGAGGAAGCTTGGAGTACTGTGGCTGAGCACTGGGACCTTGGCAGGTGGCCACTCTGAGGTGACTTGTAGGTTGAGTTGTTGAACAGTAGTCAGCTCTCCAAGGTGCTGGGTTTTGAGGATAGACGGGGAGAGTAGAATGGCGTGTGCAGAGAGAATAGGGAGTGGATAGTCCTGGGGAGGTTCTGGAGGACCTAAAAGAAGATCGGGGGACTAGAGTGAGTCCTGGATAGTGAAATTCAAGAGAAAGATGCTTTGTCAGCTCAGGCTTCTGGAACAGGATGCCATGAACTGGGTGGCTTCAACACAGACATTTCTTGTAGTTTTCCAGACTGAGGTCCAAGGTCAAGATGCTAACAGTGCATGTCCATTCTGAGGCCTCCCTCAGCGGCCATCTCCTTATGTGTTTGAATGAGCTAATGAGATCACTAAGGCCACCATGAGGGCCTCAGCCTCCCAACCACATCTAATTTTAACCACCCCCCAGTATAGGCACCTTCGTCTGAGCTTCATCGTGCAAAGTGGGGGGATACAGTTCAGTCAGCAGCAGCAGGGTCAACTCTAAGACATTTGGGTTGGAAGTGCCAAGGAAAACCACTGGAAAGCTCAAAATAAGGTGTAGTACTCCCTGCGACCAAGTTCCCCTGTGACGTGCACATATTCCCAGCAGCCAGGCTGCTTCTGCTTCCTCATTGGAGGTCCCTTATACCAGGCCACGCACTAGTGTGGAGCCAACTCAGCAGTGCCTGGCTGATGACGTCTTGGTGCACGGCCAGGTGGCACCAAGCTGCTGCCTTCAGGGAGCACGGGCGCCAGTGCTGCAGGAGTGCTGGGACCCAGGCTGGTCATTGCCATGGAGACTGTGCAGTGGAAAAGTCCCCGATGCCAAATTTGATTACCTGCTTTTTTCCATGACACTTGGACAGGTGCATGTTGAAGACTCAGATGATCTTTGCTTACTTTTAGGCCACTTTGTGAACAGGTTTGGATGAAGCCTTGAGTTTTGGGTCCAAGTAGCTAGGTTTTTCTCCTAGTGAGCTTTGGCATTAGAGCCAGGCAAGCAATCAATGGCAGAGGTAGGGACTTGCAGTGAAAAGAGATGAGGCTTTGAGCTTCCAGCAGATGGTCTGGAGGACTCACTCACTGTCATCCAGCACAAGACACTCCAAGTAAAAGCCTTCCCTAAGACTAGCTGCTTCTAGCACCCATATGCATGCCTGCATACACCCACAGCCAAGCCCAGAGCTGACCCTCGGCCCCTCTCCTGCCTCCTTCTATACACTCTGGAGCTGCCACTGCTTTGAAGTAAGGCCCCAAGCACCTGGCTTTCCAAGATTATCTCCCATTCACGCTACAGCATGATGTAGTCACCGAGAAAGCACAGTCTGGAGCTGGACCAAGTTCAAAACAATTCTGCCACATATAGAAGCTTAGCCTACAATGTTACATTGAAAATATCCTAACTGAAGATACTCACTGAGTGCACCCCATCTGCTGACCACCTTGGCAGCACATTGCCTTGCAGTGTTGGTGTGACCCCTCGAGATTGTGGGGCTGGCTGGAGCTGTGCACACACAGCATAGTGAGAGGATACCACTGCATATCCCTAGCCTTGGAAAAGATGAAAGTTCAAAACAGTACCACCCTCAAGTGAAATGGGGAGCCATCCAAAGATGGAGGTGATGTGCACAAGCCTTGTGTGGCCTTGTAAGGTCAACTGAAACTCTCAGAGCCTCTGCCTCACAGGGGGACACAGTGGTGTGTGCCTGAAGTCCCACCTACTCAGGTGGCTGAGGCAAGAGGATCGAAAGTTCCAGGCCAGCATCAGCAATTTAGTGAGGCCCTGTCTCAAAGTAAAAAAAAAAAAAAGGGCTGGCCATAAAGTGTCCCTGCATTCAAAACAAAAAAAAAAGGGGCTGGGGTTGTGGCTCAGAGGTAAAGCACTTGCCTAGCATGTGTGAGGCACTGGGTTCGATCCTCAGGATCACATAAAAAATAAATAAAAGATATTGTATCAACCTATAACTAAAAAAAATAAATATTAAAAAAATCCCTGATGTCAGGTTTCAGTTTTCATACAAATAATTAGGAAGTTGTCACAATATTGAATCATTAATTTCCTCACTGATTTGAAATGCCACTTTAGTACTAAGTCCATGCAAGAAGTAGCTGATGGCAACATTTGAAAGAGATGCCCACTCCCCCACTGTGTTAACCTTCTGCCACCGTGTCAGACACCGAGACAATTCACGAGGAGGAGAGGTTTGTTCAGGCTCGTGGTTTCAGCAGTTTCTGTCCACACTGCTGGCCTCCTGGTGGCCAGGAAGCAAAGAGAGGAGGGACTGAGGTCCCAAAGGTTCCTTCAGGGGCATGTCCCTAGTAGCCTAACCTCTGCTCACCAGGCCTCCTTGCAAAGGCTCCACCACCTGCCAGTAGCACCACAGGCTGGGGACCAGGCCTTCAGGGGATGCTTATGGTCCAAACCATAACACCCACCCAGGCAGCTGCTGTCCTTCCAGAAGACAGCAGACATGTTCTGGAGAGACCAATAATAAAAGTTGTCTGTCTGAAGACCAGGCCCCACAGTAAAAGGAAGCAATGCAAGAACATGTCCCAGCCCTGAAGGTGCACATCTATTGAAAGGTCTGCTAGGGACCCAGAATGAGGACTAGAAAGCCACTCCACCTGACACTTCAGGACTTTCACAGAGACATGTTAAAAACTTTTCAAGAAAGCAAATAGTTGTTCAGGAAATGGAATGAATCTGACTTGAAAGCAACTTTAGAAACTAGAAGACCATAGAGTAATGCTTTTCAAGATGATCCTAAGGGGAAATTATTTCCAACCTAGGATTCTATATCCAGCTTAACTATGAGAGAACCAAGAGAGTAGAAAAATATTTTTAAACATTCAGGGTCTAAAATATTAATTTTCTCCACATCTGTAAAGATGGGCCTAACTAAAATGGAAAACCAGTGGAAAGAGATGTTGTCTAAAGCGGGGAGTCTAACAGAAAAAGGAGAGAATTGTCCAGGTAACAGGAAAGAGAGATTCCAGGTTGAACCATGCAGCAGACCTAAAGCAGGTCAGAGTTTGATAACTGAGAAAAAACATGATCAAAGTTGAAGGTGACATTAAAATTACTTTTTGCCCCACATTGAATGCTTCCACTCTCTGGTGGGAGGATGAAGGGAAGCAGGAGGGGGAAGAGTCCTGCTTTCCATCATGGCCCAGCTGAACTCAGAAGGAGGCAGGTGTCTGGGGGAGATCCTGGCAGTGCTGCTGAGCCAACAGAGGGGCTGCTCCAAAGTAACTGGAAAATGCAAAATTATAGTTTATCACTCTGGTTGAAGACCAAGCCATCACAGGAAAACAAAAGCAAACAAAAACCCCTCCAGTAAGGTACAGCTATAGCATTGATGTGAGATAATGTCTTAAAAATACTGAGTTGTATGGGCTGGGGTTGTGGCTCAGTGGCAGAGTGCTTGCCTCGCACTTGTGAGGCACTGGGTTCGATCCTCAGCACCACATAAAAATAAATAAATAAAATAAAAATATTTTTAAAACACTGAATTGTAGGGCTGGGGATATAGCTCAGTTGGTATAATGCTTGCCTCACATGCACAAGGCCCTGGGTTCAATCCCCAGCACCACACACACACACACAACAAAACCTGAATTGTAGCTGGGTATGCATGCCTATAATTTATGCAGCTTGAGAGGCTGAGGCAGGAGGATCTTAAGTTCAAAGCCAGTCTCAGCAATTTAGCTGGGCCCCAAGTAACTCAGTGAGACCCTGTCTCTAAATAAAATACCAAAAGGACTGGGGATATGGCTGAGTTGCTAAATGGCTAGTGCCCCTGGATTCACTTCCCAGTACCCCCACCTCACCTCACCAAAAAAATACTGAATTGTAGCTAGGCGTGGTGGCACATGCCTATTATCCCAGCAGCTCAGAAGCTGAGGCAGGAAGACGGCAAATTCAAAACCAACCTGGGCAACTTGGCAAGATTCTATCTCAAAAATTAAAAGGGCTGGGATATAGCTCAGTGGTAAAGTGGCCCTGGGTTTGATCCCCAGTACCAAAAAACAAAACTGAATTGTTATGTGAATGAAAGCAAGATGCTGAGCTGCTTGCACAGTATAATCCAATTTTAGGGAAAACACACGTGGAACTCTTGCCAAGGGCCACCTCCTCTTGGGAGTGGGGTTTCTGGACACGTGGATCTCTTACCAAGGACCACCTCTTGGGAGTGGGTTTCTGGAGGCTTTGTCAGAGATGCCGGCTTGGAATCCCACACCTGCATGGATATACCCTTCTAGGAAGCCTCCTCAGTAAGCAGCCTCTTTGCAGGACAATCGCACTGTTGAAGGGCTTGCTCCTGGCATGGCCTTCTTTTTACTTTGCAGGTCCACCTCTCCTTCATTCTCCAAGGACCAGCTCAAATGTCAGGGCCCCATGAGAATTTCCCACTCAGACTTACACTTCCCCTCGCCTCCTCAGCATCCCCCTGCACACAGCTAAGCATCTCACTTTCTTTTCCAGTCTTTAGGGCCCTCTCCACCCTCAGTTATCACAAAGCATAGCATTCAATTCTTTTAAATGTGGGTGTCCTCACTGTCTGCATATTATTTTATTATTTATTTCTTTCTGGTACTGGATATTGAAGCCAGGAGCACTGTACCATGAGCTACACCCCAAGCCCTATTTATTTAAGACAAGATCTTAGTAAGTTGTGCAGGCTGGCTTTGAACTTGCCATCCTCCTATCTCAGTTCCCCAAGTTGCTGGGATTACTGGTGTGTGCCACCACATCTGCCTTGCATTTTACTTTTAAAGTAGAACCTTATAATTTAGTTCCTACGTCTTGTAGCCTATGTTACACTTTCTTCATTCAGGAATGTGCAGATAGCATAAAACTTACTTTTTAGAGTAAATTCACATTTTGTACATCTGAAACTTCCCACAAGGGAATCCTAAAATGTTTAGATCCAATTTATTCACAACTCTTGACAGCAGAATGTTTATTTAAATTAGCTAACAGCTTTCGGTCCTCCCACATAAATAATAGAAAATAAAAACAACAAAGAATAGTTAAAAGAACATATTAAATCCCAATTAAAGAAAAATACATATAACATTGGATTATCAATTTTATCCAGTGTAGGCACATTTTTAAGCTTTATTTTATAAAACACTTAAGATTTTCTAATATCACAGCATATCAAAAGCAAAATGCATATACGGATTTTATACTACATGTAAAGTTCCAGATTTCCAATCCTCAGTAAGATGCCAAGTTGAAGATACATATACTGATAATTAAACTATAGATAGTGTTTTGTATAAAAATAAGTAAGTTTTTAACACTTACATGAAAAGAGGCTTTAATCAAAAGAGACTTAATTCCAAGGGTGTCTTTTTCCCAACAATTAATTCAATCAATCTGTGATCCCAGGTTCAGTGACAGGTATGCTCAAAGTACACAAGAGATGGTAGTCCACAGTGGTGCATCTTTCTGGACAATCTCTAAATTCATTCAATTTTTAGAACTTATTTTGAAATCAAATGAAACCAAAGAACAGGGGCTCTCTGGCTGCACTCTGAGGAATACAACCTGAATTGTTCTGTTTGGGCACAAAGGTGCATTACCACCCTAGTGGCTTTAGTCCACCTCCCATGCCAGTTGATTCACAGAAGCATACTTCCTCCAGCTACAATGCAGATTGAGGAGCACACAGACTTTTGCAAAAGAAAATTCTGAAATTCCAGCTTTAAAAAGCAGATGAAGAAGCAACCATTTATGTATGAGAATACACATTCACAATTCATACCATAAGATAAATTTCCATTTCAAAAGTATTTTACAGACCCAGTGTCACATATTTATATAGTATGTTTTATACTATATGTCAGAAACTAAATGACACATAATAATCACAAAATTTTACAAAATTCAAGTTTCCAGTGATGTTTAAAAAAGAAATTATAACTGCCTGTTCAGCTGATATATCCAGTTATGGTTATCTAGAAAATCCCAAGTTATGTGAAAAAAAAAAAACTAATGAGAGACAATCTGTAACTCTGCTACTTTCCGGCCTTTTAAATATGGATAGCTAAAAAGAAAACTGTGTTGTTTTGGCTTTTGAGCTATTAGGTCAAGGAGTGTTATAGCTCTGAGCCACTCTTCAGATCATGTTTAGGTTTCACACAATCTTCAGCTTCAACACCACCATTTATCCAGATGAATGACCTGTGGAAATCTTGGGCATGAGAAACAAGACTTAGGGACAAAAATCACAATTAGAAGCTAGGGGGAAAAAAAATGAGTCTCAGCAAACACAATTTCTCTAAAACAAGAGAAGTATTGTATATATATGATCAACACACCACAGAAGCATTTCTTTAGTTTTTTGTTTTACTAAACAATCTGAAGTAAGCATTATAATCTGAGATCCTTTAGCTGGGTGTGGTGGTGCACACCTGTAAATCCCAGTGTCTTGGGAGGCTAAGACAGAGTGGCAAGTTCAAGGCAAGCCTCAGCAACTTTGTGAGTCACTATCCCAAAATAAAAGGGGCTGGGGATGTAGTGGTTAGGTGCCTCTGCGTTAAAAGGCAGGGAGGGGGTGAATCTGAGGGCCTTTAAAAAACAAAGGCCATAAAAATAAAAAATAAAACAAGAAAATGCAGTGCGTATCATTCTGAAGTTACACAGGGTCTCTTTTCCCTGTGCTTTGGGCATATCCAATCTCAACTTTGTTCTCTACTTTGTTACAAAAGACAGAATTTAAAAACAAAAAAAAAAATCTGTGCCAGGCATGCTGGTGCACACCTGTAATCCTATCGGCTCAGGAGGCTGAGAAAGGAAGAATTCAAAGCCAGCCTCAGCAAAAGCGAGGTGCTAAGCAACTCAGAGATCCTGAGACCCTGTCTCTAAACAAAATACAAAACAGGGCTGGGGATGTGACTCAGGGGTTGAGTGCCCCTGAGTTCAATCCCTGGTACCAAAAGGAAAAAAAAAAAAATCTGTATTGTCAGATTTTTTCCTTTTGGTATGGTATGGGGGACTGAACCCACAGATGCTTTACCACAGACCCCATCCCCAGCCGGTTGTATTTTTTAAGATAAGTCTCACTAAATTACCCAGGCTCACCTTGAACTCGGAATCCTCCTGCCTCAGATGCCCAAATCACTGGAATTACAAGTGTGCACCACCTTACCTTGCCAAATAAATATCCTGGTGGAAACTTTTCCATTTGCCTGAACACGGAGCCACTCTAAGCTACACTGAAGGAGCGAGAAGTCTCAAGTCACTGACTGCTGCCAGGTTCCTCAGTGTGTATTTTGTTGTTAGTACTTTATTTAATATGACAAAGACAAAAAAGCTTCAGCTGGAATTTCACACAATCCAAAATGTGTTGAAAAAATTTTTTTATCATGGTCTTTTAGATTTCCAAGTAAATGCTCCCCAACCAAATATTATAAAGCTGCTAATCAGCAACTCAAATTAATCAGCTCAAATTACAAACTTGGGAATGTACAAATGTTTTTTATAAAGCTGCTTCTGGTACCCTGTAAGGATGGAAGTGTCTGACATCCACACATGAGCTAGTTCCAAGAAAGAAGTCTTGTGACTAAAATTTTCTCTAAAACTAATTTCCCAACTCCTTTCTTTCCCCCAAATTGTTCATTACAGTTTAAAAGGGAGAAGTACATGAGGCAGGGTGTTTTATATGGCACTGTACCCTTTAAGAAACCTAACATTCTAGTGAACTGGGACACTTCCAACATCCTTGAACTCTGTCTTTACAGACCTCATTTCTCCATGCTGCATAATGTACAGAGTGTTTTGATTCAAAAGACAAGCTGAAGTACTACAGCAACATACATTCATTAAGGAATTACCATAATTTAAAAGGAAAGCATGGTATACATTTTAATAATTCTAGTATTTTTCTCATTTGTGCTTCAATGAGCATATTTTCTTTCTTCTTTTGATTTAGTCTAAGAGGTACCTTTCATTTTCACACTGAGACCATAAGGAATACGTTAATGTAACTTAACATAAATATAAATGACACACAAGCCACATTGAAGCATCACGAAACAGAATCCTCAGACCACGGAAGTCGTGCTCTCAGGGTTCACCCGGATGAGTCTGGATGTGCTCCTCAGGTCTTGGAGCTGCTTGGCAGGTTTCCCCACACCTTCTTCAAACCTCTTCTCCACCACGGGGAGGACTGTTTCATACAGAAAGGACGCATTCTGTCTGATAAATGCCTTCTTCTCTGGATCTTGCTCACAACGCAGACTATAATCCACATGCTGCACGGCGACCAGGATGACTTCCACCAGGCTCTCCAGGAGAACCATGTGCAGTTCTGGGAAGTACAGCTTTAGCGCCTCCTCTAGGAAGCCCATGGTCTGCTTGGTGAAGGCCACCACCGTGTAGCTCAAGTTCACCCAGCAGTCGTCGCCAGTGTACTGCTCGAAGTTACTGACCCCACAGTTTCTCATCTCCTCCTTGAGCTTCCCCAGAGCCTCGGGGGTCATCAGGTTCATCCTCCTCCACATCTCCTCAGAGTTGCGGTGCTTGGTGGCTTCGATAATGATCTCCTTGTAGCTGTGTAAGGCCCCCTGGATGTCTCTCACCAGCAGGGCATGGATGATGAAGGTGAGGTCCAGCCCGATGTCCCCGAGCTGCTGGCAGTGCTCCTTGGCCACCTTCACACACTCTGCAGCTGTCGAGAGGCTCTCCTTGCTGTCAAACACCTGCTTGCTGAAAGCATCCACGAACATGCCCATGGCTGATCTTGCCCAGACCACAAAGGCAGAGTAGCAGCCACTGTCAGTGCCTGCAAAGTCTGTCTCAAACTCCTTCGCTGTCTCAAGAAGGCTGGTAAAGAAGACATGGCACAGCTTGTGAATGTAGAGCAGAGTGGCTCCTTCGATTCGAAGCTGGCGTATGGCAGTGTGCACCGCTGCTGCCCTGTTCCTCAGAAACAGCTCACAGGCTTTGGTGCACTGGCCAAGCCGGATCAGCTGAGAAACTGCCCTTCGAGTGGCCTTGGGACCACCTCTCAATGAGCGATCTGGGGAAAGCTCAAATACCAGCACCTCGGTTAACTGTCGCACCCGCTCCTCCACCTTGGCCCTGAGTTCTTTCACAGGAGGTGGGCTGGGCTTATCTTCCAGATAGTGGTTCAATTTGTCCAGCAGGTCCACTGCGCCCTCAAAGTCCCTCTGGGCAATACAAACATCCAGGTCTTCGGGCAACTCCTGGATCCACTCCATTGAGAGGTCCACCTTCTCCTCCTCCACCTCAGGAAGCGCTGGTTCTTCATCGTCGTCCTCCTCGAACGGGTTGCCAGCCTTGGGAGTTGCCTGTGGTGGCCCTCGCGGGGCAGCAGCCGCCTCCTGTTCCCGCCGTCTCTTCTCACCTAGGGCCCTTTTGGTCTCCTCCAGCACTTCCAGCCACTCGCGCTTGATCTTGGCGTTTTCCGCCTGAAATATGCGGCTCTCGGGGAACATAAGGAGCTTGAACATATCCTTCATGGGCGGGTTGTCCTTGACGTTGACCACCGCCAGGCCGTCCAGCGGGTACAGCGCGTTGTAGCGGTACATGCCGCGCCGCTGCGGCAGCCAGGTGGCCACCAGCAGACAGTCGTTCATAAGAAAGCCGTGCACGCGCTGCAGCTGCGCCATGTGGTCCGCCTCGTACTCCACCAGGTCCCCGTTGTACACTAGGTACTGCCCCGCCTCCAGCAGGTGCCTGCAGCCCTCCACCTTCTCCAGCAACGTGGTGAGCGTGCGCTGCTTGCCCTCCTCGCCAGCGCCCTCGCGCGAGGCGCCCGCGGGCCCCGGCAGGAAGCCGGTCGGGCCGCGCCGGCGGTCCCGGGCCCCCGCGCCCGCCGTGTCCTCGGCGGTGCCCGCGGCGGCGGTGCCCGCGGCGGCGGCGGGCAGCAGCGCGAGCGGGATACTCTCCAGGCTGCTCTTCTGCTCCGTCAGCAGGTGGCTGAGCTGGTACATCTCGCTCTCCAGGTAGGAGATCTCGCGCGCCGTCTCGATGAACTGCCGGTAGTTCTGGTAGACGTTGCGCTTCAGGTTCTGCGCCGTCTCCTCCGCCAGCGCCTGGACGCGCTGCCGGTGCTCCTGCAGGTCGCGGTCGCCGTCCGACTGCTGCGACAACTGCTTCACGTATAGCCGCGCCTCGAAGCCCCCCGACTCCAGCTGTCGCCGCAGGCGGCTGGCCCCGCTGTCCGACATGGTCGCTGCTCTCCCGCGTCGACCACCCGCAACCTCCACCACTGGCCGCCGCTGGGCCCCACCCGACCCGAGCCGAGCCTTGCAGCCAAGAGAGCGGACGGGGGCGAGCCGAGGGCGCCTGCGCCGAGCCCAGCGCCCCGCATTGCGCCTGCGCGGGAGCCAAGCGATGCACACTGCGCCTGTGCTGACCGAGCGCAGACGGCGCGCCTGCGCGGACGAGCCATTGCGGAAGCGAGACGCGGCCGGGAGCAGTTGGGGGGGTTGGGCGTGGCGGGTGGCGTGTGGTCCCGGTGCGCCGTAAGGGCGATACCGCGCCTCCCAAAGTCTTACTGTGTCCTAGCCCGGGGATCCCGTGCGTGCGTGCGTGCGGCGGTGCGCGGCTTTCGGTCGCCAAGCCCCAGGTCTTGGCCCGGCGTCCTTGTGGGCCTGCGCTCGCGCCGCGGCCCGCCTTGAGTTCTCGCGAGACCGGCGCGCGCGCGTCCGATCCGGCTTCGTCGAGCGGACGGCGTCTTGGCGGCAAGCAGTGCGATGGACGAGGACCTGGTGGTGGCGCTGCGGCTGCAGGAAGAGTGGGACGCGCGGGTCGCGCAGCGCGCAGCGGCCCGGGAGCCGCTGTCGTTGGTGGACGCGTCCTGGGAGCTGGCGGACCCCACCCCGGACCTGCAGGCCCTGTTCGTGCAGTTCAACGACCGCTTCTTCTGGGGCCGGCTGGAGGCTGTGGAGGTCAAGTGGAGCGTGCGCATGACGCTGTGAGTGTCCGCGCCGTCGCGAACGGCCCTCGGGGCTGTCGTTGACTCCCCGCCGCGCGGGGGAGGCCTGGGGCCGGCCGCCCTGATACCCGGGATGGCGGACTCAGGGGCCTTGGGGAGGACGCCCCGACCCCAGCGACCTCCCCTACACACGCGGGTCCCAGGGACCCTCGGGATAGATGCCCCGACCCCAGCGCCCCCCAATATATGCGATCCTAAGGGCCTTCGGGATGGACGCCCCGACCTCAGCGCCCCCCTCACGCGGGTCCCAGGGGCATTCGGGATGGACGCCCCGACCCCAGCCCCACACACACGCGGGTCCCAGGGGCCTTTGGGATGAACGCCCTGACCCCAGCGCCCCTCTACCTCCACAGGGGCCTTCAGGATGGATGCCCCGACCCCAGCGCCACCCCCCTACACATGCGGGTCCCAGGGACCCTGGGGATGGACGCCCCACCTCCACCCCCCCCCCCCCACACACACGCAGGTCCTAGGGGCCTTCAGAATGGACGCCCCGACCCCAGCGCCCTCCCCCCACCCCGCCACGGATCCCAGGGGCCTTCGGCTTGGACCCCCTGACCCCAGTCCACCCTGCCCCAACCCACTCCACCAACCCACTCTGTACCACCGCCTTCCCCACAATTTTAGCATTGCTGTGGGTTAAGGTGAGGGCAGCCACTACTGCCCACTGACTGACCATCAAGATTTAGCTCCTAAGAGTGTGCATAATCAAGAAAGCCCTCTGCAGTAGGTTCTCTTAGTGTGAACTGCCCATGGTGGTAAGGTTTGCCCTTCCAGCTCTTCCCCTTTCTTTTGTGTGTTTGGTAAATGTAACTGTGTTGTGGTGATTGCTTTCCAGGTGTGCTGGGATTTGCAGCTATGAAGGGAGGGGTGGAATGTGCTCCATCCGTCTCAGTGAACCCCTTTTAAAGCTGAGACCAAGAAAGGATCTTGTAGAGGTATTCTTTACATAAGCTGATTCTTAATTTCTTAATTTACAGTATTTATCATAGGTTTAGTCTGCTGTGAAAAAATTACTCTTTGCTCAGTGCAAACTCATAAATTTTGGAGCAAATAATTTGAAATATTTTTATAGTGCTTCATAGTTAAGTAAGGTTGTCAGATGTCTTATCCCACTTGATCTTTACAACAGCCCAGTTTATGTTCAATGTGCGTTATCTTTGTTTTTACATAAAAGAAAATTAGGGGTTAGAGAGATTAAATTATATATTTAGAAGCAGAGAATAACAAGATTCAGTTCTTCTTGTTGGTTCTCCTGTTTGACCATCATGCTACTACCCTCTAGTAATACCTGGCTGAGCTGGCCACACTACTGGCCTGGGGGCACATTCATATGTGGAGTAGTGGTTATTCCTTGTGACACAGTGGACCAGAAACAACTCTCAAGTTTACTTTAGGTTGGGTTTAGTAAATGCCTGAAATTTCCCAGGATGCACCTAGTATGATTTGTCCTCCCCCAGTTGCCGCTTGAAAAATCTGTACAAACAACACAGGGATGCTAGAGGTTGTCTGCATGGGATGGGAAATAGATTAAAACATCCTTGGACTTGTGGGGGATGGATTTTTGTGTGTGTGTGGTACCGAGGCTTGAACTCGGGCACTCCACCACATCCCCAGCCCTGTTTTGTACTTTAATTTAGAGACAGGGTCTCCCTGAGTCGCTAGTGCCTCACGGTTGCTGAGGCTGGCTTTGAACTGGAGATTCTCCTGCCTCAGCCTCCCAAGCTGCTGGGATTCAGGTGTCTGCTGCTGCACCTGGCTGCCATGGGATTTTTAAGGACAATAAAAAGATAACAGGTTTCACAAAATGACTGTTCTTATACACATAATAGTGGTTAAATGGCAAATTTTACATTTTTATACCACAGTTTAAAGACATGTAAATAGCTACTAAATATAAAATGATATGATAAAAATATTTGGTTAATGAAAAAGAAAAGGAATGAAGAAGCCAGCTCACGTGACATGAGAAATGGCCATGAGTGCCGCATCAGTTACACTGCATGTCAGTGGCTTTAGTGCTCCTGTTGAGACACTGTGATGTACTAGATTAGAAACAATATGCTTTCAGAAAGGGCATGTACATGTTAAATTTAGAGGAAAGGAGAAGCTTCGTGTCATTCCAACAGTTAACAATATAAAGCTACCATTGGCTAGCTGGGTATGGTGGTGCATACCTCTAATCCCAGCAGCTCAGGAGGCTGAGACAAGAGGATCTCAAGTTTGAGGCCAGCCTCAGTAAGTTAGTGAGACCGTTTTAAAATAAAAAATAGGGCTGGAGATGTAGCTCAGAGGTTGAGTACCCCTGGGTTCAATCCCTGGTACAAAAAAGAAAAGAAAGCAAGCTACCATGGCTATATTAGACCAAAAATTTCAAGGAAATAAAATTTACTAGGAAAAATATGGGACATTTTATAACAGAATAACATTAGACAAAAATACATAATGACTCTAAAAGTGATAACATAACTTTGAAGTGTGTGGAGCATAAATTGGCAGAAGCTAAATAAATAAGTCTACAATCACAGTTGCAGACATTAACCACCTGCTCTTAGTGACTCGATGAATAAGTAGAAAAAGTACAACTGAAATTAAAAAAAAAAAAAAGAAGTTGAACACGAATAACAAGTCACCCCTCCAGGCGCCCTCGCGAAGTCGCTGCTGGGTGCCTGTCAGCAGTGGATGAGAGGAGAGGAAGTGTGTTGTGACGGCATGGGTGAGCATTGCCATGGGCAGGAAGTCTCAGTGTCAGACCAGGCAAGGATGGGAGGGAGACTCTGGTTTGTGCTGAGTGTAGTTAACTATAGCAAATGGGGGTCAAGAAAAGGCTCATAAATATGAAGTTCAATATGACCACTTGCCACTCCCACCACTTTTTGCATGCCGCATTTGAGGAGCTCCTTGGTAGCAGTTGCCACAGCCCTGCAAAATTAGCACCCACCCCTTTAGGAATGAGAAGCAGATTGCAGCCTGTCCAGCTCTCATGCCTACTAAAGGACAGATCCTTGCTTTAGGCTCCAGTTTCCCTGACCCTGAACCTCTGTCCCTGATGCTACTCTGCCTATCACTGTTGCCCTTAGCTATTGCTCCTGCCAGTTGAGCCCTAAAGGACCAGCTGAACTTTTTGACAAATAGAGACAAAAGAGAAGCTTACTCTTGGCAGGAGGAGTGGGAATGATGTGAACAAAGGCGGCAGAAAATGTGTGGCAGTGTCTGGACTAGAAGCAGGGGCCGTGAACCAGATTGGGCAGTAAATGAAACAGGTGTGCTGTCCAGAGCTTGAACCTGGCCTCAACATGAAGGTAGAGGTGTTCAGAAGTGCCATGGGTCCCCCTCAAGATGTGAGTTGAATTGGACATCTCAAAATTTCTCTTTTGTGAGTGTGGGTATTTATCATTACTTTAGAATATTGAGAAACTTTTGAAATGTTGTGTGGCTTTTTTGAGTTTGAGTCTTCTGAATAGAGTGGCATTTACTTGAAAAATACCGTTCCTCTTTTAAGAAGTACAGTTGATAACTATAAGGGGGTATATTCATAATGACCATGCAGGGGTTGTAGCTCAGTGATAGAGCGCTTGCCTAGCACTTGCCTAGCATGTGTGAGGCACTGGGTTGAATTCTCAGCACCACATATAAATAAAGGCCCATCAACAACTAAAGAAAAAAAGTATTTTAAAAAAAGACTAAGATTCATTAATGCCAGTCTTGTTCTTCTGTTAGGAATTCTTCCATCTTCTTTCTTTGTCTTTTTCTTTTTTGCTGTGCTTGAGATTGAACCCAGGGCCCCACTTATGCAAGGCAAGATAAATCCTCAGTCCTGGAAAATCTTTTTTATTAAAAAAAATTGAGGATTATGGAAAATTCATGCTTTTGAACAAAAAGCTCCAGCAACTTTTAAGTGCATTTGTAATTTTGCACATAAACTGCTCTCTTGGTGAGGAGTGAGCAATAGCTTTTACTGTTTGTCTTAAAATTTTACTTGATTTGAAATCATAAAACAAGCTACATATAGAGAAATCTTGTCTATGCCTGTCCTTCTCTATCCTTAACTGTCCACCTACTATTTTTAGTTTCTTATTGTCTCATTTTTCTGTTTTACAACTGTTTGTGTCTTTTATTCCCCTTTTCTATCTTACAAAGTGTGAGAATGCTGTGTGCACCCTGCTGTGCTCGGTCTTTTCTGCTAGAACAATGCACTCTAATCTTCTCCAGATCCTTTGCTGGATCTTCCCCACTCTCTTCATGTTGCACAGAACTCCCTCTTGTGGCTGTGTACTCAGCCAGGCTGCCACTTCTGCACTCCTGAATCATGTCTGATCTTCTGCCTTTGTACACAGTGCTGAGTGGCGCCCCAACAGAGCCATTCCTGCTGGTTTAGGTATTGCTGGTATGTAAAGGCCAAACGCACTTGTGGTTTTGCCCGGTACCATCAGATCCCTCCCTTTGGGGTTGTACCATTCTGCACTTCGTCAGCAGTATACAGAAGTGTTTATTTTCCCTGAGCTCCACCAACAGTCGAGAGGAGTTTCACCAATCTTGAAGCAAGAAATAGCATCCTAATGTAGTATGAATTTGCACTTCTCTTTTTATAAATGAGATTGAGCATTTTTAAAAATGTTTTTAGGTCATTTATACTTCCTATCAGAATTTTAAAGGTTTTCATGTAGTTGAATTCATGGATCTTTTCTTCAGGATTTTGGTATGTACTTTAAAAGGACAGGCAGACCTTTGGGAACATATGAAAGTTCTGTGAGTTTGTACGTAAGAAGTTAAGACCTCAGTTAGAGTAAGAAAATGCATTTTTATTTTCGGAGGTGCTATGACAAATTAATTGTTTTCCATTTCAGACTCTCTTGCATGAAATGATACATGCCTATTTGTTTGTCACAAATAATGATAAAGACCGGGAAGGACATGGTCCAGAGTTTTGTAAACATATGCATCGTATCAACAGCCTGACTGGAGCCAATATAACGGTATACAAAGCTATATACTTTTAGTGGTTTTTTTATTCAATAACTCCTGGGATTTAATTAAAAAGAGAGAACGAGGTAGAAGTAAGTGGTATCTCTGAGGATTTCAGCAGTGGACAGGGGGCCTGCAGTAGCTGATGGGCTTGTATAGGCCCACACAGTAGAGTGACCATGGCCTCTGACTACCTGCTGTAACCATTTAGGCAGTCAGTGAGGCTGCAGGACCTCTTCTCTGAGGATCTTGACTTTATTCCTCATAACAGTCTCTTCCCTGAGTCCATCCTGTATTCGGCCACTTCTGTGCCCCTTTTGAGTCTCATCTCTGCACAGTTTTGTAGGAGGTAGGGTCAGACGCCTGGGTTCAGATCCTGCCTGGCTATCCCATGCTTATCTGTGTGCCTGCCTGATTCTTCTCTGCCTCATCACTCACGTGCCAGTGGGGGTCATGGCAACACCTTGCTGTTGTATCATGGGGAGGAGAGAGGATCACAAGAAGGCACAGATGAAGAGCATAGGCCTGGCCTGAGCAATGGTAAGGTCAGTGTGTCAGGCCTCCCTGGTCTTTGTTCTGCTTCCTTCCTCTGCATACTGGATGGTTTTTACTCGTCTCTGTGCACATGTGACAAGTGTGTATAGATGGTTTCTGAAACATTAGTTTTTGTAGAGGTGTTTTTGTGGTTTTGGTTTTTTCCAAAACTTTTTTTCTAATGTCAGATTAATCTTTTAGTTCAGAAAGCATTAAATTAACTGCTGTTTCCCATTTTTTTTTAAAGAGAGTGAGAGAATTTTTTAATATTTATTTTTTAATTATCGGCGGACACAACATCTTTGTTTGTATGTGGTGCTGAGGATCGAACCCGGGCCGCACGCATGCCAGGCAAGCGCACTACCGCTTGAGCCACATCCCCAGCCCTGCTGTTTCCCATTAAAATAGACTTTTAAAAATATTTTTTGGCTGGGTGTGATAGTACCTGCCTGTAATCCCAGCAGTTCTGGAGGTTGAGGCAGGAGGATCATGAGTTCAAAGCCAGCCTCAGCAAAAGGGAGGCACTAAGCAACTCAGTGAGACCTGTCTCTAAATAAAATACAAATAAGGGCTGGGGATGTGGCTCTGAGTTCCATCCCCTGTACCAAAAAAAAAAAAAAATTGTAGGTGGACAACATATTTATTTATTTTTATGTGGTACAAAGGATTTAACCCAGTACCTCACATGTGTTAAGCAAGTGCTCTGCCCTAAGATGGACTTTTGAAAAGAAACTAAATATAGGAGCTTGTCTTTTCAAAAATAGAACTTCTCAAAAATCTCTGGGGAAAGGAAAGTTAAAAGAAAAAAGAAAGACTGCTTCTATAGGAATTTCCTTGAAATTACCAGTTGGCTTTCTGAGTGGTGACAGTGCTCTCTGCCTAGGTGTACCACACCTTCCACGATGAGGTAGATGAATATCGGCGACACTGGTGGCGCTGCAATGGGCCCTGTCAGCACAGACAGCCATATTTTGGCTATGTCAGACGCGCGACCAACAGGGCACCCTCTGCTCGTGACTTCTGGTGGGCCGAGCACCAGAAAACCTGTGGAGGCACCTACATCAAGATCAAGGAGCCAGAGAACTACTCAAAAAAAGGCAAAGGCAAGGCAAAGCCAGGAAAGCAGCCAGCGCCAGCCGTGGAGAATGCAGGTACTTTTATGAAACCCCCTCTGCCCCACACTGCAGCCCACAGGCCTGTACACGATAAGCCAGGGTTGTTTCTCTTGGAGAAGCTTTCAAGTATGCACTGAGGGGAAACTCCCGCTGTCCAAGAAATGGTGGTAGGAAAACATGCTTTGCTCTACATGGAAGTGAGTGAAAGTAGAATAGTGTCCACTGACGATGCTGGAGGGTAGAGTCTTTTTTCCTGTCTTGAGTCAGCACTGAGTTGTTAGGAAACAGAAAGCAAAAAGATTGTCAAAGTTAAGTCCTGATCACACCCCTGTGGTCAGTTGGGTTCTGTCAGGTCACTTCTGACGTGGGTGTGATCCTTGGAGAGGATGGGAAAGGAACCTGACGTGTTGGCTGTACTTCACCCTGAAGACATGCCCTGTTCTGAAAGCTCTTGCTGAAGTTAGGCTCCTTCCCTTGGGAAATTACCTAGGAGGACAAGCTGTGGAAGGGTTTGTGTGAGGGCCGGTGTCTCCTCCTCTGATTGGAAGGAAACATACAAGGTAGCATGCCTTCCCTTCTGGAGCCCAACAGAGAGGAAACCAAGTTCTTTTCAAGGTGAGTGTTCCTCGGTTGTTATTCTGTAGCATGATGGGGTTCTTTAAAGAAAAGTTTGTTTATCCTCTTTGTTTTCTCGATAGCAGAGCTCTGGATTATTCTTTTCCCATGAGTAGGTAATTATTACTACATGGTACTAAGTTGGAATGAAATATTTCTTTATTTTGAGACTCATCCATTAGTTTGGTGTTTAGTACTGCATTAATGTTGAGAAAAATCTGTGTTTTCTTTACAGATAAGACCAGGAGAGGTGAGGCACAGCCGTTGGTCCCTTTCAGTGGGAAAGGCTATGTTCTTGGAAAGACAAGCAGTTCACCTGTGCCTGAGAAAGCCATTACCTCGCATGCCGTCAATGAGACCAAAGATGTTTTTAATCAAGGCCATTCAGCAAACACCCTAAGGTCTGATTCCAGCATTGAGGTGAAATTTGAACAGAATGGTTTAAGTAAAAAATCATCTCATCTGGTCTCCCCTGTTGTCAGTACCAGTACCAGTCACCAAAGCATCCTGAGCAGCTACTTTCCCAGGGTCTCAGTTGCCAACCAGAAGGCTTTCAGAAGTGGCAGTGGATCTCCAACAGCAAGTGGGACCATTGGCGACATCACTAAACGCTCTGTCTCTTCTCGCTCTCAGAGAAGGGTTCCAGCTTCTAAGATGCCCCTGAGAAATTCCTCCAGAGCAAAGACATCAGCATCTGCAGCTGCAGCCCAGGGTGGGGGTGGGTCCCAAGAGAGATCCCCAAGCAAACGGCCCAGGCTGGAAGACAAAACCGTTCTTGACAACTTTTTTATCAAGAAAGAGCAAATACAGAGTGGTGGCAGTGATGTGAAGAGTAGTTCACTCCCCGCAGTTGCAAGTCAGAGTTCCAGCAGCTGCTGTAGTCAGAGCCAGTTGGTCAGCTGTCCAGTTTGTCAGGATGAAGTTCTGGAGTCGCAGATTAATGAGCATTTGGACTGGTGCCTTGAAGGTGATGGCATCGGAGTCAGCTTCTGAGAAGCTTCTGGAAAGGCGATGAGTCTCATTTGTTGCTTGTGACCTCAGGGACCACCGCCAGCCGTTGGGGGATCTGGGTGACACCAGGCCTGTGGTTAGCACAGTGTTCTGCTGTTTTACTCTAGGTGGAGGTCTAGAGCTGGGCTCAGGAGCTCATGCCTGTAGTCCCACTACTCAGAGAGCTGAGGTGGAAGATAGCTGTGAGCTTATGAGTTTGAGACCAATCTGGGTAACGTGGAGAGACTACCGTCTCAAAAAAAATGTTTACATCTTAAGGTGCTGGGTTTACTCCTGCCTTTCCTACACTGTGGCCCATAGTTTGTTCTACCTATGCAGTTTTAGATATTTTTGTTCTTTCTTGAAGGCTTTAAAAGCTATTAATATTAATCTTTATTTATATGTTCTTCTCAAAATACATGTCTCAGGAATGCTGTTGGGTTTTGGTTAAAACTCACTTCCATAGCACCAGATGTGCCAAAACCTGGATGACGTAAAAGTACGGAGTTGAGTCATTGTAGGGCACTCAAGTTTGGGGTTTTTATCTTTTTAAAAACAACAGGATATAAATTTTTGATATTTTAAAGAATCTATCTGTTCCACTTTTACTAAAAGGTAGCAGATTTTTTGGTTAGATAAGGAATACTATAAAATAAATTTATTTTGGAATATTACGAGTAATAGCTTCTAGTTTTATAGGACAGATTTTATATTGAGTTTAGCTTCTCAGAATTTAGTAAAGGGAGTGGCTAAACTCAGGCTGGGCAGTAGCTGGCCCATTTGGATGCCAGTGTTTAGAACCATCATAACAAAAAGGGTGCCATTGGTGCACTTGGTTTGTTCCTTTTGCAGAGGCTCTCTTCCTGTTCCTGCTGTGGCGCAGACAGCTTCTGTATCAGTTGCATTGTCTCGCAGGGTACCTCTGCTGTCAGCATTCCCTTGGCCTCAGAGGTTCACTTTTCTTGGTTCTGAACTCTGGTGGTGTGATTTGTTCCTGGTCAGGTGCAGGAGTCTTACGGGCCAACCCAAGTAATGTTTACATGGAATTCATCAGTTCACCATTCCCATCACCACCAGAGGCTGCTTCTCGTGGTACCGCCTGCTCCCCGGACAGCACCCACCACCTTCACTGTCCCCAAAGGTCACCACTGTTTCCATCTAAGGTTAGCTCAGCCTGTTTCTGAAATTGATGAAGAAGAGGTGGTGTTGCTGTGTGTAGAGCTCCTCCTCACTGCCCCCATGTGGTGTGCAGGTTTCCATCCACACCAGCATTAGTAGGATTCTCAGTTTGGAGCCATTGTGAATGTTGCTGCTGAGCACACTCCTGCTCCGCCCAGTGTGCACATGGGGAAGGGCCTGTGGGGTCACGTGGCTCTGGGGAACACTGTTGGGGTGCACTCCTCCAGCAGTGCAGGAAAGCTCTTAACTGGTTTTGGCCTGCCCAAGTGTTCATATGTCTTAAAGCGTGAAGTTAATCACTATTTAATAAATATTTATAAATGGCTGTTGGAGTCTGTGTTGCTGAACACATGCTGTTGGGCTTTCATCAGTTTAACAGGTTATATGCAATAAGACACTTTGTGAGCAAAACTGCTCAGTGTTCTGAGGCTGTGAGCTGAAGAATGGAGTTGATGTCTTTAATGAGCTGACAGCCTCCTTGGGGACGCAGACTGGCAGAGTAGTCTTGACATCTTTTGGTAAGTGCTGTGACAGGTTCTGCCCAGTGTGGTGGGAACAGTGAGCATGACGCAGGACTTCGGGGCCTTGTCCTGAAGCAAATAATTCCTAAGTGGAACCTGGGTCAACCTGGAGGTTAAAGGGTGGGAGGGGCCTGCACAGGCATGGAAACAGATTAGCAGGGCTTTCTGGGGACTGCAAACTTTGGGTTGCAGCTGGGATAGGAGGGAGGGGCGAAGTGGCGGGAGAAAGAGCAGATCTAGCTCCAAGTTGCCAGGGCAGCGACTCTGCTTCTCACATCATCCTGTGGTTGTGGTCTTGACCAGGTGGGCTTGGAGAGGCCATGCCTCAGCCAGGGACAGGCTAAGAAGCCTGGGTGGAGGAAGGCAGAGGCAAGAAGGGGTCAGGACAGTGAGGCTCATGTTGGGTCAGTGGCAGGGCCTGGGATGACAGGAGTACCTGCTTGGCTCCTTTAGAATGACGCAGTTGGCCTGAGGTCAAGCCTGTACTCCCAGCTGTGTGAATACTGGAGGAAATGAGCACCCTCAGAGGTGGCTCCCCAGATCTGAGTCCCTCAGAGCCGAGTCACTCTCCGTTTCTCATTTTTCTCTTTCTAAAGCAAACTTGTGGTCTCACTAACCGAGCAAGTGATTCTGGCTCAGCCTCACAGAGGGAAGACAGGGTGTTTTATTTCTACAAAAACTGGGTGTTTTTAAGTCAGTGTCTCACAATGTTCAGCTACATAACTTCAGAAACGTTGGCCTGTTTTTGTAGACTGTAAATGCACACCCTAACTGAAAATTCTAAGCTGGGTGGGAAAATACAATAACAAAATACAAAAACATCATTCTGTCCTATTGTCCCAAAGCTTTATTTTTTAAAAAAATTTTTTTGTTATACATGGGCACAATATCTTTATTTTGCTTATTTTTATGTGGTGCTGAGGATGGAGCCCAGTGCCTCACATATGCAAGGCAAGCACTCTGTCACTGAGCCACAATCCTAGCCCCCAAAGCTTTATTTTTTTTCAAAGTGCATAGAATTTTTAAAGAAATCAGAATGTTTCAAAGTAAAATCGGTGTACCTTCCTACAAGACACCTGCACCTGTGACTCCTGCGGGTGGTGGACGTGGTATGTGAATCTGGTCTTGGTCTCAACGTTTTTACCTTTCTGAGCCAACTGTAGTTGTTGAGCATCAGCATAGCCACCAGACAAACTGGAACTCTTCATATAGCAATGACTGTAGAGCCGGAAAGGATAGGACATGGAAATCTGCTTTATCTTCACATCTCTAGAAGCAGATAGTAAAAGTCCTGGGGATAGTAAAAGCTCCCCAGGGGATGAGCATTGTGTGACTAGAGCCCAGCACTGCTGCAGGGCAGAAGCCAGCCCAGTGCTAACCTAGCTAAGATGACCCTCCTTACTGAGTCCCTCCTACTGAACACTGGGGTGGTGGTACTCTCCTGGTCATCTGCTTTATCTTCACATCTCTAAAAGCAGATAGTAAAAGTCTTGAGCTCCCCAGGGGGTAAGCATTGTGTGACTAGAGCCCAGCACTGCTGCAGGGCAGAAGCTAGCCCAGTGCTAATATAGCCAAGACAACCCTCCTTCTGAACACAGGGTGGTGGTACTCTCCGCAGGTCACATTTCTGAAAAACCAACAGCAAAGTGAAGCCCAAACCACCTAAGAAATCTGTGAGGTCAGGACAGAAAGAAATGACCAGGGCCTCAAGTCCTATGAGGGGAGCAGAGGACCCCTCCACAGGCACTTCCTCTCCACACTCACTTTTCACCTGTCACTGAACACTAGCATCACAGTCTTGAAGAAAGCAATGGGGTCCCAATACTGTGAGCCAGAGTGCTCCCGACGAGGTGGGCCTGCATGGTCCATGAGCTGCAGTCCTCTTCCTCTGACCAGGCCTGAGGCTTGTTGCTCTGGCCCACCCACATAGTCCCAAAGAGTCCTGGATGTCAAGTACCTCCTTCACCCTTTCCTCAGAGCAACAGGTGCCTGTTACGTCCCTAGTGTTAGTGAATGAGGGTCTCAAGTTCCAAGGTTATCCCTTTGCACAAAGCATGCTGATGAATGCTAGGTGTATCTCCATACCTTGCTAAGAGTGAAAGTCTAGGTGCACTTAGGAAATGCCAAGAACAAACCACTCCAGATTATAAGCATACCGTGCACACTAACTACATAAAAAATCTGTACTTACAATCAAGCGTGGTTTTTTAGATTCCATTCCAGATAGATTTCCTTTATGTGTATACCTTTAAAACAAGAAATATAAATTTGTGTGCACACATGTACATACATACAAACATAGATAAGTGATTTCATTTATAAAGTAAGATGGCCTTGTGCTGACTTGAGTTGCAGTTTTTACTCCCAGTATTTACACAGACCCCCTGGTATCAGCCCTGCGGATGGCATCCAGCCTTGCCTTGACGGAACCTGCCAGGCTGCCCTGTGCATAGGTCATCCAAGTTTCATGAGTGCAATGCTGCCCCAGGGAGGAGGCTCAGCGCATGACGTGTGTCATTCTATTTTCCAATCCTTCCAATCTATCGTTGGCTGCTTGCTTTTCAGTGTCATTCATTACATTTTCAGTTGGATCTATTCCTCTGGCATCTTGTAGCTTCCTCTTACTTGAGATAATTCTGTCTTCAATTTTTTTGCTGACTTAAATCAACTCTTTGTTTCCTGGCTTCCCAAGAGTTTCTTTTTCTTCTTTTGGTCCTTTTTTTTTTTTTTTTTTTTTGGGGGGAGAGTTTTTTGAATTTATATTTTCCTTTTTTTTTTTTTTTTTTTTTTTTTTTGAGATGGGGTCTGGCCATGTTGACCAGGCTGGTCTCAAATGATCCTCCTGCCTCAGCCTCCTGAGGTGCTGGGAGTGCAGGCATGAACCACTGCTAGGCTTGAATTTCTCCCTTCAAGAGTTAACTTGAGTTTATCTCAGTGTTCACCAGCCATGAACATCATCTTCTTTTCTTGTTAGTCCTCCTCCTGCTCATTTTGGAAGCCCACTCTTCCTCCACTTGCAGCAATAGCTGCAGTTCTCCACAGGGCTTGGGGTGAGGTCCCCCTCATGGCAGGGCCAGGTGCAGTGCCCAGAGATGGTGCTTTTTGGGTGAGGGAAGAGCTGGAGGTGGAGACTCTCAGACTATCCCCCTCCCATATGCCATCTTCTGCACAATCTTCTCCAACCTGTGAACTCCAAACCCCTACCTCTCAAGCCCAAGGGGCCAGTACACTCACTTTGGGATCTGACTTACCAGGACTTCTGTCACCTGCAGGGTGTGCCTGACCTGGTGTGTCCCAGATACGGCCACAGCCACTGAGCGGCCCTCCTTGACTATTTCTGCTGGTGTTTTCCTCTGCCTTACAGGTGTTGTGTAGTGCTGGCCTTGTGCATGACAGGAGGCGCTGACATGGAGCCAACTGGGCTGACAGAGGTGGGACATGTGACAACTGGACTGCAGAGGTGGGACAAGACACACTGGGCTGAGAGAACAAGGGAGCTCTTGACAATCAAAACCTATCAACAGGCATGAAACAGCCACTGAAGAACTGGAAAACAGACACCCCCCAGAGAAGATGAGGACAGTGACCAGGGCAGGAACAGCAGGTTTAAACCGGCCAGCTTGTGACCCTACTCTGGAAAGCACGGGAGCAGAGGGGGACAATAATGAAAGACGTCAGGAAACACCCAGCTCGCAGTGCCATGGCTGAGGCGTCCCGTTCCACTAACTGGCTCACAGAAGTAGCAGGTCACACTAGGAACTGGGCTGCTTCAGATCTCAATCCACACAGAGACCACGGCTGCCGCAGTGCCACAGACTTCCAAACGACAGTGACTTCCAAACGAGAATTCTGTCCTGGGCCAAGCTCCAGTTGGGTGTTGTGGCTGACAATGCCCATACCCACGTGTGCTTGCCAGAACCCAGAGACCAGGGCCACTGCAGAGAGAAAGGACACAGAGAGGAGGGGTCAGGGTCCTCACATGGAGTGGAGACAGGGCGCCAGAGGCCAGCTGTGCACCAGGAGGAAGGGCGGCCTCCCAGAGGCACAGGCTGGGAGCCACAGGCACAAGTGAGAGACGTGAGGAAAAAACGTAAGTCGCAGAAGAAAATAGAACCACACGGTACACTGTCCTTCTGAGCTCCGAGCAGCACACCACCACGGGAACACCAGGAGCTTGACCCCGGGCACAACACTACCAGGTGGGGAGGCTGGGTGGCGGAGGCCACCTGTGTCTGCGGTGCGTCTGGATGGGGCGGGAGTGCTGGCAGGAGGCCTGTGTTCTCTTGGTCCTAGTGGCACCTCAGCAAGCAATGCCTGGTCTTGAGATGCCAGGACAGAGCGAGGATCTCATCCCTTAGCTCCCGAAGGACCACTCAAGAGCTGAAACTTGTTTTCCTCCAAATGTGAGGGTCACTGTTGCTCCTGACCCTTAGAGAACACACAGTCTAGCTACTGAAGCAAACTTACACAAGAGCCCAGCTTCCAGTCCCCATTGTCCATCTCTTACCAGCTGCAATGAGCCAGCATTTCTAGGTCCTGTGCCTACTTTGTTAAGGACATAGGGCGCAGGTATTCTATAGACCAAGGAGGAGCAGAACAGCTCTGGAAGCCACCACCGATCTCTGTGAAGGGAAGACCTCGTACAGTGACTAACACTCGCATCAACCAGTCACGATGACCCATCCACAGCCACCTGGGCTCTCCCGCCCATGGTATCACACCTGTGGGTTCTGCTCATGAAACCAGCTCACACGCACCTTCTGCACCTGTTGCCAGCCAGCAGGTACAGTGAGCAGCACGGTGT